CTGAGTCACGCTTGAGTGCCTGCAGATGGTACAAACTGTCAGGCCCAGGAGGTGAAGGTGGGGTCACAGATGAGGTTCTCTCATTTCTTTTCAATTTTTTAACAAATGAAAAGGTACTAATTATTTATTTAGACCTCACTTTGTCCCCAAACAAGAACCTAGTGTGACAATTTTGCGTTAAGGAGCCCAATCTACTTTTGCTCCTTATAACAACCCTGTGAAGCAGGTAGGCAGGTGAAGATCTTTATGCCCATTATACAGATGATGAACCTGAGCAGCAGCAAAGGCTGAAGGCTAAACTCCAAAGACCATGATGGGCGGGGCTGGGACACTCCCTGATGTATCATAAGGCAGCAGAGGTCACATGTTCAAACCGCATGGTATCACTGGAACCACTAAGTCCAGCTCCCCGTGAGAGGGCTTCCCTTTCATCATTGTTACCCTGCACAAAACTACTTCAAATAGAATCCCAGTGAATGGAGAGCCAGAGCTCCCCAAGGTGAGGAGAACTGGTGTCTTAATCATTTTGTTTCTCCTCAGACCTTAGCACAGTGCCTACAGTTCAATAAACATTCCTGGAATGAGTGAGAGTATAGTGAGTTTGAAGAAAGCAAACCATATTCCATGAAGACTGAGGATGGATTGAAAGGAAAGTCACTTCAAAAACAAGCAAGGCAGAAAAAAGACTGTCCAAGCCTTTGAGAAAAGGAATCTAGTTAATTGTTCAACAAGGTTATAAGACAGGGAAGAAAAGCACTCTTCAGTGGAGGGAAAGCTAACCTCAGAAAACTTTTAGTATTCATTCAACTACCTGATATGTGCCAGGAACTGTTCTAAGTTCTGAAGATATAGTCATGAGCGAAACACAAATCCTTGCCTTGTTGGAGCTTACAATAAAAACCACAAAATTAAAAGACCTAGTATGACAGGTGGCATTATGTAGAAGTAGCAGGCAGGGAAGATGGACGGGAGTGCCAAGGTAGAGAGTGGCAATTTGGGTAAGACCTAAAGGAAGGAACAGAACAAGCTGTGCGTAGGATGGCCATATCATTTATCATTCAATCCAGGACACCTTTGAGAGTGAAAGGGGACACTATTAATAATTACACAGGACAATGAATTCAAACCAGGCTGTCCTGGGCAAACTCAGGCATGTGGACCTTAGCCATAAAGCTCTCCAGTGTAAGTGCAGAGCAGAGGGGAGAGCAGGAAAAAGCACCTCAGATTCAGAGCGTGCCTGATACATTTAGGAAACCCCTACAATAATAAAGTGAGAGGGGAAAGCAGGAGACGAGGTCTGAGAGTAACAAAGGGTTGCAAGAGGGAGGGGGCTCTGTCGGCTATTGTAATGCCTTTGGCTTTCGATCCGAGTGCACTGGGAAGCCCTTGGAGGGTTTTGTGCACAGAAGTTTCATGATCTGACTTCTATTTTCAGAGGGTCACTCTGAATTGCTGTGCTGGAAATAAACTATATGAAAGGGCAAAAAGAGGAAGCTGAGAGACCAGTTAGTGGGATATCCCAACAATCCAGGCGAGAGATGAAGGTACCTTCAATAGGGCTGGGACTGGTAGAGGTGATGACATATGGAAAGATTTGGGATATATCCTCATAGATCTGACATTAATTGGTTATAAATGGTAATAAAAATTATAATGATTTTTATCTAATCCTTTCTGTAGCTGGCTAACATAATCGATCGGGAAGCACAAGATCAAAGATGGGAGTTCAGTTCCCATGTGACCCCTGGCCCCTTTGAAATCACATGCTACTGGTCATAAAGGGAACAGGCAAAGGTAAGGATGATCCTACTTAACTCTATTGGCCTGACTAGAAAAAGTCTGAGGAGCCCACACCTTCTCCAAGAAGCTACACATTCTAGAATATATTTATGTAATTGCGCACTTGCATACCAATTAAAGAGAATAATTTTGTGGGCTGTTCAGATGCTTCTCACATATGGCAGCTTGGTCGTGGAAGCACAAATTCATTTGTCAATAAATGTGCTAAACACTGTGGGGAGAAGATGAATAAAGATAAATTCTTTCAGTCTAGTGCAGAGACAGACATAGAAACAAACAGCGGGATCATGATATGCCAAGTAGTACAATTAGGTTATGCATATGGAACGATGTGGAAACATGCCTAACATCTCCTAGGAAGGCATGGGGAGAACCGCCAGGGAAGGCTTCAAAGAGAAGGTATTTTGGGGGTTGAATCATAAAGACTGAGTTGATGAGGTGCCTGGGTAGTTCAGTAGGTCAAACGCCCAACTCTTGGTTTCAGCTCAGGCCATGATCTCATGGTTTGTGAGTTCGAGCCCCGTGTTGAGCTCTGTGCTGATAGTCCAGAGTCTGCTTGGGATTCTCTCTCTCTCCCTCTCTCTCTGCCTCTCCCCAGCTCATGCTCAGATGCTCTCTCTCTCTCAAAATGAATACCAAAAAAAAAAAAAAAAAAAGACTGAGCTGATGTTTGCCAGGCAGAATCAGGGTTGAAGATAGGGTGAAAGCATATTCTGCAGGGGTGCTAGTCCATGCAAAGAAATATGAGGACAAAGATCTTTGGAGGAGCCACAAGCAATGGCTGGAATATAACACATGCACATCTCATAATACACATGACAAAGGCAGCTCTTACTTGCTGACTGTGCCAGGAACCATTCCAAGCACTTTACATGGATTATCACATTTAATATTCACACAAATCCTCTTCACAGATGATGAAAGTAAGACACATAGAGGTAACTTGGCCTGAGGGCCTCACTGCTCATTAGAAGTTGAGTTAGGACTCACATCTGAAGAGTCTAGAGCCTGAGTTCTTTCTGTATACAGTGATGTGTGGAAGTGGTGGTGACCAATAAGGATGCAAAGGCAGGCAGCAGATGGGTCATGACTAGTGTTACAGGCCATGAACCATGGGAGGGTTTTATACGTGGGAAGGAGGGGCTGATCAGATTTGTATTTAGAAATATCTCCTTGGTGACAGTATGGAAGATGAATCAGAGGGAGCAGGGACAAAGCAGGAAGACCACTTAGAAAATTGCTGTCATAATCCTGGCCAGATATGGCATGGGTCTGAACCAAAGCAGAAGCAGTGAGAATGGAGGGGACAGGCCAGAGTCAAAAGAAAGAGGGAACAGAAGAGGAAGAGTGGGTAGGGGAGCCACAAGAGATGATTTTCCTTGTCAGTATACTGAGGATGAGGTACTTGGGAGTTATCCAAGCAGAGAGGTCCATCAGGTGCATGGACCTATGGCGCAAGAGTCCAAGATGGAGAAGGGTGAATGAGAGATCCAGGTTGCACCAAATGCTTTTCCCATGCATGTGTACCAGGGAATCTTTAGCTCAGATGACTCCATGATGGTGTCATTAGAAGATCTTCCACAACCATCCCCACATAAGGATTCTTTGAAACTTCCCTCTTTTCCTCAAAGTAAATTTCAAAATTACAAAAGACTCATCTTCTGAGGAATCATCTGGTCTACCTAAGCTATCCCAGGCCCAGAACCACTCCAGGACTAGTCGGGGTAAATCCTGGTGCTTTTACCATCTGCACCTGTAATCCCTCTGCTTCAGATCAGCAGTAAAACTAGCTCAAACTGTAGTGCTGTGAGCCCAAGAACAGCCCCTCCTCAGTACAACACCATCCCACACAGCCTAGGAAGCTCAAACTCTGGGTTCCTATAAAATGGCTCTTTGGTTTAGCAAAATGGAAAGATTGCCTTTGATACAAGAGTCTGGTGGCCAAGTAACATTTTAAGTACCCCAAGTGCAGACATAAAATGCATCTTATCACCAAACTATTATCCCATTTGTCTTCTCATTTAAAGAGAAATAATAAAAGAACAAAAGAAACAGAGAAAGAGGAAGAGAAAAAAGAAAGAAAGGATGGAAGGAAGGAAGAAGTTAATTAATGACAATCCTTTAGGGATTCTCTTATTGCCAACCAGTTTTCAAGACTTAGCTACTGACCTCTAGAAATATTGTTGGATGAAGCAACCAATGAATGAAGGAACAATTCATTAACCAATTTCATACAACTTCACTTTCACTATACCTTCTTTAAGCTAAGTTTCAGAAATGCAAGTTAGTTATAGAAAACTAAGACATAGAGCAGCAGCCCCATATCCACCCCCAACTAAGTTTTAATGTTTTTTACACTCATGTTGAACAATATCTGTCTTTTGAGGCTTTCCAAAATCTGCCCTTATTCATCCCAACTCCTGTTCCCCTACATCATAAAGATACTCTGAATGGTGTGGTCTAAATGAGGAACAGCAGTCAGGACACCTGGCCACAGGCTTGAGAGATTCAATTAATATCTCTATACCTCAGGACATTAAGTTGCCCCATGTGCAAAACATACTTAATAGTATATGCCCTCCTAGAATGATTGCATGACATGGTAGATATACATGGTCTTCCAGAAAGCATGTAACCTGTGTTAGTGGAAGTCCATTCTGTCCCTGCCTCCCTGCCTCCACACCGAACCTTGACCTGCTACCTCTCTAGGTAACCAAATCCTACGGCTTCAAGTCTGAGGCGCATGCCCACTTCTCGAAGCTACAATGCCACCGTTCTCCTTCCTGATCTCACAACTGGAACCACATTGTTCCCCTCTGGGTCTCTCCTGATTGTTTATATACCTGCTGCTGAGTAAGCCCCCCACTAGCAGAACCAGAAGCTCCTCCAGAGCAGAGGCTACTCCTGCTGTCCCCAGTGTTACCCTCGACACCAAGTTCATTAGGGGCCCGCAGTCACGACTCACTGACAGGGCGATGATGAATGTGGCTTGACCAATGTGTTCTCAGCTAAAACCGTAACGTGCAGCCCATTTATAATTCCATGCATTATACAGCACTGCTTCTAAATAGGTCACCCAAAATTGTGGCTGAAATGATCCCAAAATAGACATGGCCCTGCTTTTCTGGTCCCTGTGTCGTTTCTAGATGTAAGCCTGCAACTCTGAGCATCCCAACTCTGTTACCTCTTGGATTGGTTACCTGCACCACTGTTGCTAAGCAGGCTGACAGAAAGCTCTTCTGTTCCACTGAAGTTCAAGAAGGACATGCTGTCACCAGGCTGGCGGGAAGTGCTGTGCCTGCAGAGAACAGAGCCCAGCCACCTGGCTTAATGCAGAGCATTACCTCTTTTATCCTGTTCACCCCATATCCCAGGAGTCTCGATCAAAAACAGCTCTGAATATCTAGCTACACAGGCTGGCAACAACTGGGAGCCATACCACAGGCTACTGGACTTCAGTGCTTGGTGTCTGTGCCAGATCTGGTCTCCTGTGGCCTGCTTGTCCTGCCCTGGCACCCCAAAAACTGCTTTCCCACTGCCATACTGGACTGCCAGCCCTTCCTCATCCTCAGCTCCCCACTGCTAAAACAGACAGGCGGCTATAAAGTGACTGAAAAGAGGTACCAAGTGAGCTGACAAAGAGGGTCATGTCCTGCCCATATCTCTCATCCATTCCACGGGATGTCGAGATGATTGAAAAAGGGACCAAAGAGACTGCCCTTTGCAAAGTGTTTCCTAAAGCATCACAGGAACAGTGAGGCCAGTTGTATCCCCAGCTCATGTCTGTCAAGTAAGTGACTTTATTCCTGCACTGACTCTCTTGGATGCTTTCTAATGCATTCAGAACTCTGGTTCAACAAGAGTTGTTTCTATAAACACGGGCCTTGATTTCCATTGCTTTTAGCAGAAACAACTTCTAAACTCAACAGTGGGATTTCTCGGTGGCCAAAATGACAAAAGTCACAGACTTCCCAGAACACACAGCATGAACAACCTGTCTCAGCACTCATTTTCACTCTTGGCTGAGGTTTAGAAAAAACTCATATTTGAGGTTTACAAAGTGTGCTTTGAACTAAAGCTAAAGCAAGGCCTAGGTAACGTGTGGCACAGCGTCAGGCTGTTTGCTTTGCACTTGGCCCAGTGAAAGGAATGGAACTGACAAAGGAAGGGCTTGATCTCATACTGTCTCATCAAGTCTTGTAACCATGACATTTTGTCAGCAGACTGTTCTGCCATGGTTCTGGGTACCGCGGAGTTTCTCAAGGTACTTTCTGGAGCCCTATGCACATCCTCACCTTCCAGCAGCTTCATGATACGCTAACTCCAGCAGCTCTGCAGAGGAGTGAGTTGGGTCCCTCTGCCCGCTGCCCTGCAGCTCCGCCATATTCTGTCGGGTCTGGTGATGGATCTGGATGGCCTCTCCGGATGGTCCTACCCAGACAAAGATCCACTGAGCATCATTCCCACCCAACAGCTAGTGCTTTGTACTTAGCTTTACTCTTCCTTCTTTCCAGCTGCTGAGACGTGGGCGCTGGGAGAGACCGGAAGGAAAGCACACCAAGGGTAATATTACACATGTGATCCTCCAGCTTCCCAAAAGAACATCTCCTCTTCTAAGCAGGACTCATCTTCCTGTGGGGCCTCACATTTGTCACCCTGTTCAGCCTAAAAACACTTCAGGAGTCTCTGTCTCATGCATGTCAAACTGAGATGCCATAGAGAAACACTGAAGTACAGGAGTAGAGGGCACCTCCCAGAAGGAATGACACAAACTAAACAACAAGGAACACATGAGTGAAACGTCAATGACTCTGTTAATACGTAAGACGTTGACAGCTGTGACTCCAAGAAGCAGAGGATGCGCAAGTGCATAAAAGACATCAGGTGGGTGGGAGAGAAATCACAATTAGTCAAGTCTATTCAAAAATGCTTCCTGGGGAAGGAATTTCAGAGGTGAGTGTTCGGCAAGGTTAGTAGGAATGGAAAAAGAGGGCACTTGGGCAGAAGAAATAATGTGTGTGAAATCTCAAATGTGGAGGAGGCAAAAGGCATGCAGGAGACCACCAGATGAGCATGGGAAAGAACAGAAGCTCTGAGGATGGGAGCGAGGAGATGCAAAGTTGGGGATCCAGGCAAAGGAGGGCCTCAGCTATCAGCAGACTGGGCAGGCATGAGGACGAAACAGAGGAAGCAGGACCAGAGAGTCCTGTTTTAGTAAAGTGTGCCCAACAGTTGGGGGCAAGAAGAGCTGGAGGCCATGAAAGACACATCAATGGTTCTCCTAAGAGAACTCGAAGGGAGCCCGTGGGGATAACAATGTAAAGAAAGAGACAGTGGAATGAAAAAAAATCCTGTAATTTTGACAGGGATAAGGGGGGCAAAAAGGAGTTTGGGAGTGACCCCCAATTATGGCCTACACAACCAGATTCATTTCTCATCGATTTAACTTTTAACATTAAAAGCAAGTGGAAAAGGAAGTAACTAGACATTTTCAGGCATTCAGCGGGCTGGCTTCCACGAAAAGACCCTGGAGTTTAATGCATCTGTTCCTTCCCAGCCCAGTCAGAGCCCATTAAGCTGAAGTTAATTTTAGCTACAGCTTTATAAAACCGTACTGTCATCCTCTGTAGGAGAAAACACAGATCAAAAAGGACAGGCTAGGAAAAACAGTGGATTGAAGAAAATATCTTTTTAAGTTTTGATTGCTTTCAAACTTTCAAAAAATGGAATCATACAGAATGCACTCTTATGTTGGGCTTCTTTCATTATGTCCATAAACTTAAACATAAATTTGGATGTGGTTGTAGTTCATTCTCATTTCTGTATAGCATCTCGTATTTAAAAAAACCACTTATTCTATCCTTTCTCTTTTTTTCAACTTATTTGAACTAAAACAAAAACAAAAAAACCAGCTCACCCATTTCTCAAAAGTTGTGGTTTTTTTTAGTTGTCAGAGACTCCTGAGAAAAAACAAAATAATATAACTTCTGTGTATTCAAGACATTAATATCACTATCCAGAGAGAGACAGGAGAGGAAGGAATGAACAAGGATAAGCAGCATTACTCTTAGGAAAGAAAGCAGATGACAAAGTACAGTCCCTTTCAAACAGAAGAAAAGCCCTTAGGTTTACACAGTCACTTCCCAAGTGTGTCCTCAAGGATCCCCACAAGAACCCCTGGGGTAGGCAGAGTGGCAATGGATAGCTCCATCTTAGAGGTGGGGCACTGGAGTTGCAGAGAAGTTGAGATTCTTTTTTTTTTTTTTTTTCAACATTTATTTATTTTTGGGACAGAGAGAGACAGAGTATGAACGGGGGAGGGGCAGAGAGAGAGGGAGACACAGAATCGGAAACAGGCTCCAGGCTCTGAGCCATCAGCCCAGAGCCTGACGTGGGGCTCGAACTCACGGACCGCGAGATCGTGACCTGGCTGAAGTCGGACGCTTAACCGACTGCGCCACCCAGGTGCCCCGAGAAGTTGAGATTCTTAACTGAGGCCACACAGCTGGTTAGTGACAAGGACCAGGACTAGCAGCTCCCAGCACAAGGCTCTTTCTTGAGCAACCAACTTACCCACAGGAAAAGTGTGCATCCAGCGCCTTCTGTTGGATGTGAGCTTCATGGGCATTCGTGAGGGGGCAAAGGGGTTAATCAGTGCCCGCTGGGGCGTGTATCCCCCAGGTCGAACATGCAGCATGGATTCTGCGCTGCCTACATGGAACCTTCCCGGCGCACTAGAGTCTCGCTGTGGTGGCTCCATCATGTTCTCCAGGACATCTGTCAGTTATTGTGGAGTTGAGGCACAAAGAGAAAGCACAGAGCCATGGTGAAACCAGGATTAGGCAATCAGCCAAGGCTGACTAGAATCTTGAACGTCATACATGTTAGGGAGTGAAAGAAATAAGTATAATGAAATGAAACACTGGGTTTGTTTACTTTTTAAATACTTGGGAGAAGGAAGTTCTGGCTCCTAAATTACTGGCCCAATAAAGCCACACCAAAACCTGATGGAGGGAACCACCCATCACCTAGAGACCCTGCACTTTGAGCTAGATGCAATGACTTGAGTTGTCTCCCTGGGAGATAGGGTGGGTATATTCTATATTTGGTGTCCAGAAGGGCAGACCCTGATAGAGATAGCCAGTGTGTTCATTAAACCCATTTGATTTTCCTCTTAGGCACATGAGACTATAGTTTCTAGCCCCTCTACGCTGGGGCCAAATAACTTTGTTCTACCTCTTACACTGTTGGTAGGAATGCAAACGGGTACAGCCACTGTGGAAAACAAAATGGAGATTCCTCCAAAAGTTAAAAATAGAACTACCCTATGATCTAGTAATCGCCCTAGGTATTTACTCAAAGAATACAAAAACACTAATTCAAAGGGATACATGCATTCTTATGTTTATAGTAGCATTATTTACAACAGCCAAATTATGGAAGCAGTCCAAGTCTCTATCAATAGATGAATAGATAAAGAAGATGTGGTATATGTATACAATGGAATATTATTCAGCCATAAAAAAGAATGAAATCTTGGGGTGCCTGGGTGGCTCAGTTGGTTAAGCGTCCGACTTCGGCTCAGGTCATGATCTCATGGCTCATGAGTTTGAGCTGCATGTAGGGCTCTGTGCTGATAAGCACAGAGCCTGGAGCCTGTTTTGGTTTTTGTGTCTCTCTCCTTTTCTGTGCCCCCCCCCCCCCCCACCCCAAACTAAATAAACATTTAAAAAAAATTAAAAAAAAAAAAGAATGAAATCTTGGCATTTGCAACAACATGGATGGAGCTAAAGAGTATAATGCTAAGTGAAATAAGTCAGAGAAAGACAAATACCATGATTTCATACATATGGGGAATTTAAGAAACAAAACAAACAAGCAAAGGGAAAAAGAGAGACAGAGACAGAGAGACAGAGACAAACCAAGAAACAGACTGTTAGGAGAACAAACTGATGATTACCAGAGGGGACGGAGGTGGGCTGATAGGTAAAATAGGTGATAGGGATTAAGGAGTGTATATTTTGTGATGAGCACAGAGCAATTTATGGAATTGTTGAGTCACTATATTGTACACCTGAAATTTACATAACACTGTATGTTAACTACACTGGAAATGCCATGGCATGGCATGGCATGACATGACATGGTATGACATGACATAAAATAAAAATAATAACTTCGTTCCAAGCAATAGAACACAGGTAGAAGTGGCATGCTCCAATGAAGGCCTGGACCACAAATATCTCTACTCATGATCTCCATTCTCTTTTCCCCTACTGTGCTAACTTTGGAGACCAGTGCTAACGATCATACCATCCCAGCCTGGGGCCCTGAATGACTGGGTGGATCAGAACCCCCTCCCACTGACTCAGTGACCTGGATATAAGTAAGCAAATATTACTATGTTTAAAAAAAAAAATTCCTGGGAGAAAAGAATGAAGAAATGGATGCATCCAGCATTGACCAGGCAATGAGGTGGCATGACATACAGACTCAACCTGTCTTGTCCAATGGCAGACAGGCTCCCATTATAGAGATGGAGGTAACATGCTACATAACCTAAGTGGATCAAAGAGCTAAAACCCACAACCAGCTCCCCTGGTATGCATCCCATGTTCACTAAAGCAATCACCCACATCAGAAAATGGGTCCAGCAGATGCAAATTCCATGGCATCAAGGAATATGTTTTGTCCACCATTATTTAGCCAATGCCTACCAAAGAACCTGGTATATAGTAATAGCTAATTCCTTAAAGCTGATTTGCATGCAAGAAGGGAACATTCAGATATCTATGAAAGCTATATTTTTCACTGTTTTATTAAAATTTATTTATTTATTTACTTATTCTGAGGGAGACAGAGACAGCACAAGTGGGGAGGGGCAGAGAGAGGGGGAGGGAGAGAGAGAGGGAGGGAGAGAGGAAGAGAGGGGGAGAGAGAGAGAGAGAGAGAGAGAGAGAGAGAGAGAGAGAGAATCCCAAGCAGGCTCTATGCTATGTGCTATCAGCACAGAGCCCGATGCAGTGCTCCAACTTACCAACTGTGAGATCATGACCTGAGACAAAATCAAGAGTAGGATGCTTAACTGACTGAGCCACCCAGGCACCCCTATTTTTTCACTGTTAATTAATGAGTTGATGCTCAGGTTTACCAAATAAAAAAGAAAATGGTCTACTTAGTTATCATGAAAATAAAAGGAGAAAATCCAATTTTAAAAAAGATAAGTTAACGCTTTGAAAAGGATGAGAAATAGGACTAAGGGATAAGGGTGCCTGGCTGGCTCAGTTGGTAGAGCATGCGACTCTGTCTCAGCATCATGAGTTTGAGCCTCACATTGGGCATGGAGCCTACTTAAAAAAAAAAAAAAAAAAGAACTAAGGGATAAAGTGGGTCAAAAATACATATAGATTGCAACTACCTGGATGGAACTAGAGGGTATTATTCTAAGCGAAATTAGAGAAAGACAAATATCACATGACTTCACTCACATGAGGAATTTAAGATACAATACAGATGAACATAAGGGAAGGGAAGCAAAAATATATAAAAACAGGAAGGGGGACAAAACATGAGACTCTAAAATATAGAGAACAAACAGAGTATTGCTGGAGGGGTTGTGGGAGGGGGGATGGGCTAAATGGGTAAGGGACATTAAGGAATCTACTCCTGAAATCACTGTTGCACTATATGCTAACTTGGATGTAAATTTAAAAAAAATAAAAATTTTTTTAAATATATGTTATAGAAAAAAAATATGTATAGAGGAAAGGGGAAATGTTTTCTATGTTACATTGGGTAGGTAGATGGGTGAGACCCCCTAAACACACTAGAGAAACAGTAAACTAAGGGCCTATAGATTGTACTGCCTTATAATATTCTAGTGAATTGCTTTTTGGCTTTTCCAAAAAACTCCCCAATATCACTAAAGGACACTGAAATCAATTCTACTATTCAGATACATTTTTAAGAAAACTATTTTCAAAGCTACTTTCAAAGCTACAACATTATCTCCTCAGAGATCTGGCTTTTAGAGCAACAAGGGTTTGGGAAGAATTAATGTTTAGTGTAATTTAGCTTTTGTTACAGATCCTACTAAGAATATTTGCAGAAAAATGGGGGTAACTATCACACAAACTTAGAAATTTCCAGAAAGTGGGAAAGTGCTAGCCTACAAATTTCAAATGTATTAAAATTCCTGAGTGCTGAAACTAATTAAGTGACATAGGTGATATACTATACTCATGTCATTAAATATCTGCTCATTTCTCCTTTTTTAGCATTTCCTATGTATACTTTGAACCAGTTACAAAACAAGCAAAATTTTTTCTATAGTCAAAAACTATGCCCTTGGCATAGTGTATATGGTGCTGGAGGTGATGGCTTCACCTTCAACACCCTGGGTCATAGAAAACATTCCTCACCCTTCGGGAATCCTTCCAGGAGGGCAACAGAGGGCAGCTTATGTGTATACAACATTCCTAAGTCAATGATCAAAAGTCAGGAGGGCTGTGCTTCCATTTATATAACATCCTTGAAATTAACAAAATTATAGAGCAAGAGAATGATCAGTGAGTGTGTGTGGCTATAAGGGGGTAACACAAGACAGCCCTGTGGTGATGGAATAGTTCTGTATTTAATTATGATGATAATTATAAATAAATAAATCTACACATGTGATAATAATGCATAGAGGAGTGCCTGGCAGACTTAGTCATTAGAGCATATGATTCTTGATCTCAAGGTTATGAGTTCAAGACCCATATTGGGCATAGAGCTTACTTAAAAAATAAATAAATAAACAAACAAACAAACAAATATGGAATGCCTGGGTGGCTCAACAGGTTAAGTGTCTGGTTCTTGATTTCAGCTCAGGCCATGATCTCATGGTTCATGAGACTGAGCCCTCTGTTGGGCTCTGTGCTGAAAGTATGGAGCCTGCTTGGGAGTATCCTTTTCCCTGTCTCTCTGTCCCCACCTCAAAATAAATAAACAAACATTTAAAAAACAAAACAAACTGCACAGAAATACACACGCACAAATGAGTGCATGTAATACTAGTGAAATCTGAATGAGCTCTGTGGCTTGTACCAATGTCAATTTCCTGGTCTGATGTTGTCTATAGTTATACAACATGTTGCCATGGTGAAAATGAGTGAAAGGTACCTAGGACCTCTGTGTGTGTGTGTGTGTGTGTGTGTGTGTGTGTGTGTGTGTGTGTGTATCTGTCATTTCCCATGAGTCAATAATTATTTCAAAATTAAAAGTTTTTTAAAAAATCAGGAGGTACCTGTAGACTCTAGCTGCAGGTGCTGCTGGATGGCAGAATAAGATACAGAAAAAGTAGCACCTGTGCTCCCTAGTGTGAGCCGGGTTAGCAAGTTAACTGTGAGGAGAAATCTTAAAGTACAACACGGGACTGAGGCTGTTTTAGGCATGACACAAATGGCAATGATAAGAAAATAAGCATACACCTTTGACCCTAGGCCTAAGAAAAGCTCTGCATTAACATATGGAAAGGTATACAGTTACAGTGAAAGGGGAAAAAGTGTTAGAGACAAAAATAGTATAATATACACATATGTACATTTCAGGTGACTTATACACTTTGCACTGGCATGGAAATAATAAGATATGGGACTTATACCCCACATCTGGTCACATTCCCTCCCATCCCCTGCTGCAGGAAGGGAGCTGTCCCCAGCTCTGCCCTGCTGTGCCCGTTCTTCAGCCCTCTGACCTCGAGTGCTGGTGTAGCCCAAGGAACTGCTGACTTCATACTGGTGCAGGTGGGGGTGCGGGATCATCAGGATGTTGGCACTCCTGCCCAGGGAGCTGTCATCAGAAGCCTGGCTCCGCACTTCCTCAGTGGGCAGTGTGCGGCTGGGCAGGGAAGGGCTGGATGAGACATCACAGGAGCTGGCGCTCTTTCGATTATGACTCTCCCGCTCTCGCACAGATCTGACAAGTGAGAGACAATGAGTTACCAACAAGCAAGTGATGGTGCCCCACCTAGAATTAAAGCACCAAAACCTATCACCAGCCCAAGCTAATTGGGAAACCAATAACAAAAATCCCCACTGTGTTCTATGAGTGAGAAATAATGTAGGGGGTATTCCCCCTCGACCAGCTTGAGATATTGCATAAGAACTGACAGTTCTCAATTGGCCCAAGTCCCGGGGTCATAGCTGTAAAGGAGTGACTATTCCAGTCTAACCCTACTTGATCCCACCAATCAATCTCATAACACTGAAAATGGGGCAACTAGACAGGATATGATACGATGCAAGAGAAAGTACACAGCCACCTCAGGAGTCTTCTTGGACCAAAAATTGAGCCTAAATATAATCAGGCCTCTAGAGGTAATTGCTAGTTTATAGGAAATTCAGAAAAGAGAGGACAAGTTAAACATTATAACAAAACAATCAGCCAAATGAAAAAAGCAACATAATCTACGGTCACAGAAAAAACACATTCCAACCAAATGCTTTGTCTTGCATCTTCTTTAGGTCCCAATTCAAATCAACCAACTGTAAAAACACATTTTTGAGACAATTGGGAAATTTGAATATAGACTAGCTGTTAGAAGATATTAAAGAATTAGTGTTAATTTTGGTACTTGGGATAATTTATTTTTTAATTCTTATTTGTTAAAGACATACACTGTAACATTTACAGGTTAAAAAAGGGATTTGTTTTAGAATACTCCAACAAAATGTAAAATGTAGGGAAAGTAATGAAATGAGGCAGACAAGACACTGATCACTCTTCATTATACTACTCTATTTGAGTATGTTTAAACATTTCCTTAATAAAGGTTTTAAAAAGTTTATCCTTATTAAAACATAAAACTCCCTAAGGAGAAAACTTCTGGAAGTAGTAGGAGCAAGGATCAAAAAGGGAGAAGCCCAATAGGGAGGCAAAAATTCAGAATGGAAGAGTTAGCAACTACGGATAGGGCTCCCCCTCTGGTATCAGAGCTGTTCTGTTTCCGCCTGGAAGGATTTTGTCTTAAGTCAGAGCTTAAATGGAGACTGAAAATAGATCCCCTAGGCTGACTGCATGTACATTATTGCAACAGTAAATATCTGGGCACCAGTGTATGCTTAGTCCTGTGCAGGGAGACAGAGTACCAATTAAGACACAGGCGGCTCCCTCAGGAAACATAAGACCTAAGTTTCTGAAATACCATGTCTTGCCATCTTTGTTTAGAAAAAACAAAACCAAAGATCTTCGACTGTGAAAGCATTTTTATTTATTTTTTTTTATTTTTGTGTGTATGTGAAAGCATTTTTAAATACTCGGGAGGAAAGTGCTACCAAATCCCTAAGCAGATCTATGTATAAGAGAACTGTAGTTAATGGCACTAAAGGTTCTAAATTTTTTTTTCAACGTTTTTATTTATTTTTGGGACAGAGAGAGACAGAGCATGAACGGGGGAGGGGCAGAGAGAGAGGGAGACACAGAATCGGAAACAGGCTCCAGGCTCCGAGCCACCAGCCCAGAGCCCGACGCGGGGCTCGAACTCACGGACCGCGAGATCGTGACCTGGCTGAAGTCGGACGCTTAACCGACTGCGCCACCCAGGCGCCCCAAAAGGTTCTAAACATTTAGGAAATGTTTTATGTCTGAGCTCTAAATGTTTTCATCTTTTTTAAAAAAATTTTAATGTGTTTTTGTTTCTGAGAGAGACAGAGACAGAGCATGAGTGGGCAGGAGCAGAGAGCAAGACACAGAATCCAAAGCAGTTCCAGGCTCCAAGCTGTCAGCACAGAGAACGCACAGACCGTGAGAGAGATCATGACCTGAGCGGAAGTCAGCCATTTAACAAACTGAGTCACCCAGGTGCCCCTAAATGTTTTCATCTTAAGATGGGACAAGATGAAAGGAGAGAAGACAATCATGTGGCTACTATAAGCTCAACTGCCAATGTGAAGAGATGGAATATTCTTCCAATCACTGTGCTTAAATAAACGTGCATATTTAAGAAATTTGGAAAATGGACTCATGGTATTTAGTCCACTAGGGGTGTAAAAAAAAAAAAAAAAAAAAGCCCTGGGATGGGACGCCTTTTTACATAAGACTCAGAAATGAATATATTGGTAAATCCAACTATAGCACAATTAAAAACTATCATATGACAAAAATAACATGGAACACACTTAAAAAGCAAGAATTAAAGACAGAAAAGTCTCTTGCCCACTGGGAATAAAATACTCCAAAGAAACTATGGGCCCTAGGATCTATATATATATACATTAATGGCAGCCCAGTAAGAAGATTCTAGAATTTGTGAATTGCTTCTCTTGATTAGAAGAACACTCTATTTGGGGACAACATTTCTTGCAAATATAGCTAACAAAATGGGTGGAAACAGAACCCTTAATGATCTACACAGTATAGTTTCCATTTGGCTAATTTTAATTTAAAACGTTTTCCAGGTTGCTCTCATGAAGGTCCCTGCAGGCCCTAAGGTTTTCCCAAGCAATTTTCATATACACCCCAAAGTGAATCTGGCAAAAAACCTGCAGGTAGCGAGGCGCTGAGCCCGGGATGGGCCTGGCAGCCTGAACACTTGGGCGTCGTAGGCATCATAATCTACTTGGATGGGAAGGGCGTTCTCAGATTCTTTTGGAGTCCCAAGAGCTGAAATACACAAATCAAGTGAATGGTCATTAAAATACATTTCAACCAGATGCCTTCAGAGGGCTTTCATCAAAATCCACAAGACACAGGTGATCACCATCATGTCTCCCTGAAAAAAGTGGGACAATAACCCATTCATCAGGTTCTTGAAATTAAATGACTAACATGTCAAAGTGATATAGAAAAGAGTGTAGCACTAAATAAGGGGAAAGTTTGGGTAGTATTTCATTCTTCTGTGATCCCACTTTAAAAAAAGATCCTCTTAATATGTACGGTTAGTACTTCAAAACTTTCTGCCTGATCCCTACAATTGACTGATGGAAAAGAAAAACAAGGTTTGTCAGCATCTGTTTCACAGCTGACAGGACGAAAATATACAAGGCAGTTAAAAGACTTTCCGAGGGAAACTCAGGTCTCCCAACTTAGCTGTGAACTGCTTATGCGACCTCACATAATCTTGTTGCCATGGGTTAGCGGACTCTTTTTAAACGGGACAAAAGGAGGTCCCCAAAATACTCACATGTATCACGGCCATTTTTTGCTTTCTCAGAGGCAGGCTGTAAAATTAAATAGATAATTAATCACTTCCTCCTCTGCTAACATAGAACTTATCACAAGGCACATGTATGTAGGTGGCTGCTCCCCTGGGTAGAGACCATGCCTTACCCCTCCCTGTAGCTGACGGGAAGGCAGGAGCAAACACCTGAGGCCTACCTACCGCAGTGTCAGGCCCTACCAGGCCCACCTCACACCTTGGTTGCCCTCAAAACTCTATCCTCACTGTACAGGTGAGGGCATTCAATTCTAGAGAGAAAAAGGGACTTCCTCAAAGTCACACAACAGGTGGCAGAGCCAAAATCCAAGCCCAGTCCTTCATGTTCTCTCTCGGTCAGTCCAGTGGTATGTGTATCCTACCTGCCCCCAAACCCCTCATGCACATGGCCCCCTTCACTACAGTGCTCTCACCGGTTTGCCTACACCTATAAGAGATCACCCAGTTTGCTGAAATGCTTTACAGAGGTAGAAAGAAAACACAAAGAGCTTTTTTTTTCTCTTCCAAATAAGTCTTTTTCAGGACCCTTTAAACTTCTCTAACAATACTCACTCTTTCTTCTTTAAAATCATCATGTATAGAGAAGTTCCTCCATGTTCCACTTTGCCCAGAAGGGTTGTGATGAAGGCATAAAACCTCAGAGGGCAGGAGGTGGCCCTTTCTGGGAAGAGTCCCTTCTCCTAGCACCTCACTACTTGACAAAGCCCATTTTAGAAGGAGTCTTCATAGTCCTCACAATTAATATTTTCCTTATTAGAAGAGTAACATCAACCCGTTACCCACCCCCCAAAAAAAGGGAAAAAATGGCCCTGATACTACTAACATGACCACAATAGAGCAGCTTTCACAGTTTAACTCTGCTAGAAACAGGCAGATGGATGGGTGAGAGTACCTGGTATGCCACCTACATACCCAACAGTCTGTGTGTCTCTTCACCTTGTATCAAAAACACGTTTTAAGGTTCTTAAAACTGGCACTTTTATTGACTGGCAATATATTACATGGAGTGTAGTTCATGGTTTAGTCATTTCCCTATTATTTTCAACTTCTAACTATTATAAATAAAGATGCTATTTGCATTTAATATCCTCAATTGTTTCCTTAAACCATATAGCCAAAAATGGAATTGTCTGGTCAAATGGCATGAACGTTTGCACTGCCCTTGATACACATGGCTGAACTGCTTTTTGTAAGTATTGTACACCAACCAGGTACTCAAGCACCAATATCACCACTTTTCCCAGGACTTGGTATAATTGTTTTGTTTTAAACCTTTTGATAAGCAGGGCCACCTGGCAGGTTCAGTCAGTGGAGCGTATGACTCTCAGTCTCGGGGTTCTAAGTTTGAACCCCATGTTGGGCATAGAGATTACTTAAAAATAAGATCTTTAGGGGCACCTGGGTGGTTCAGTCAGTTAAGCATCTGACTTTGGCTCAAGTCACGATCTCACGGTTCATGAGTTCGAGCCCCCACATCAGGCTCTGTGCTGACAGCGCAGAGCTTGGAGTCTGCTTTGGATTCTGTGTTTCTGTTTCTCTCTCTCTCTCTCTCAAATAAAGAAATACTAAAATAAAATAAAATCTTGATAAAATAAAATAAATCCATTTGGTAAACAAAAAGAATCTCCATTCTTGTTTGAATTTGCATTTCTTTAACTACTGCCAAGATGTGATCTTTACATCATATTTCCCCTTTGCTGCAATGCGTGCCCATGTCTTCGTCCCCAAAGGTATCTGAGCAGTCCCAGTATCTGAATAAACCAATCACATCATGACAAAAATATTCATTATTAAGGAACTAAAAAGAGTTGTCATAGTTTTCCCAAAGATAATTTCTTATAGTCTGGAGGTTTGCCTTGTTGTTGATGTATTTAATGTGGAAAATCATAAAGTTCTAAGACAAATGTCTTGAACTCTACTCATGACCATGGGGAAGAAGGGCATATCCTGGGATCAAAATAACCATGTTGGTATGTGACACTCCCTGAAGGCTCTACAGGTTGGTGACACCTACCTTCTTCCCTGCCAGTTTTATTCGCGGGGTGAAACTGTTACAAAAGAGCTGGCTTTTAGACGTATAGAAACTGTGAAAGAAAAAAAGGTCATTAATTTAAGCCCCTTCCATTTTATTTATTTTTTAATTTTTTTAAATATTTATTTATTTTTTGAGAGAGAGAGAGAGAGAGAGAGAGAGAGAGAGACAAAGCATGAACAGAGGGAGACACAGAATCCAAAGCAGGATCCAGGCTCTGATCTGTCAGCGTAGAGCCTGATGCGAGGCTCAAACTCATGAATGTGAGATCATGACCTGAGATGAAGTCAGACACTTAACCGACTGAGCCACGCAGGCACCCCATAAGTCCCTTGCATTTTAAACTTTAAATTGAAACCCCAGCCATGGATTAGTCCTCTCTTGACTGCCTATGTCTCAGGCTTCACTGATTCCTCCAATTCTAACTTGTTCTGTAATTACTACAAAATATTAAATATGGTTTTAATTATTGTTCTATTCTTTTTTCCCTTGTTAACTGTTTCACACTAGTCCTGATTCCTAACTGGATGAGAATCTCCTCCTCCTGGCAGAGATTACATCTATTTACACCATGATACTTTTGCATCTTGATACTTGGCACGATGCTGGGCCCAAGTGTGGTCTTTATCACTTTTGGGTTGAACAGCACTTGGTAAGCAAGAATAAGTCAGGCAAGAAAAGAAAAAAAATGGTCTTAAGAAAATATGGCACAAATCATCAAATTTTTATCTCTTTGAAAATCATATCTTTTTTTTTTTAAGTTTATTTATTTTTGACAGGGAGAGAGAGCATGAGCAGGGGAGGGCCAGAGAGAAGAGAGAGAGAGAACCCAAGTAGGCTCCACACAGTCAGTGCAGAGCCTGACACGGGGCTCAAACTCACAAACCCCAAGATCATAACCTGAACCAAAACCAAGAGTGGGACACTTAGCTGACTGAACCACCCAGGTGCCCCTGAAAATCATATCTTAATGCAGTCACGTCAGACACACAAGAAAATTGGGAAACCCAACCTTGCCCTGGGTCTAATGAGTAAACAGAGAAAAAGAAAGGAGGAGCGTTTGGGTGGCTCAGTTGGTTAAGCATCCAATTCTTGGTTTCAGCTCAGGTCATGATCTTATGTTTCATGAGTTCAAACCCTGTGTTGGGCTCTGTGCTGGTGGTGCGGAGTCTGCTTGGGATTCTCTCTTTCCCTCTCTCTCTGTCCCTCCCCTGCTCACTCTGTCTCTCTCAAATTGAATAAATTAAAAAAAAAAAAAATACCAACTGCAGTCAGACCTGGAGTCCAACTAGCCTCTGGGACTTGACTCCTTAGAGTGGTACCAAGGAAAGTACAAGTAGAGGATGCTGCTTGCTTTCCAGACATTAATTGCAAAAGATCTGAGTATTAAAGTGATATTAGCCAGAAGAATGGGTTTCTATTAGATGTACCCACGTGAAATTGCTGTGTTTGAAGGTCAAACCCAGTGTAAAAATCACAATTTCAAATGGTTTAAACCAACAGCTTCAGCTTTGCCATGAACTTGCTGCTCAACCTTTGGCAAGTCAAGTTACCCTCCTGGAATACCTATACAGTGTGACTGGAGGGTCTCTATGATCTCTAAAACAGACTCCAGATGCCTATGGCATCCTCAAATGCCCATTTTATAACTCTTATGTATCTGCTATTAATTTACTTTTTGGATCAATTTTCATGACTAGCCAATAATACTTGGGAGAATAACTTTTCACTGAAGACAATTTGATTATGCTTCAAGTAAGGTCTCTGGCCTTGTGGAATGATTTTGAAGAGGCTAGTGGACAGGATATGAACAATGGCGCTTATGAGCAGCCATGCACCTCTGGCCACAAGCCCTCTTTGCTCCTGTCTATGAGTGGCTCAAGCAAACAAGGTTCACAGTGAGATGTGAAAAGCAGGCCTCAGGGCATCCCAGCTCTCAGATTCTGAAGTCATACATGTGTGAATCATCGTCTATCTTAAATGGTATCATAAAGCCAATTTAGGATGAAAAATACAGTGATAAATCAGGAAACCTTCAAGTTATTATTAATTAACATTTGAGGAAATTACAGTGTTTAAATTCATATACAATTTTGTGTGTGTGATAGCTACTCTCTCCCTTAATTATTTCCTAAACCAAACATAAAACAATGAAATATGGTGTATAATTAAACAGCAGCTGTTTTCTTATGGGCAAAAGAATCTTAATGTATAGTCAGGGGCACCTGGGTGTCTCAGTCGGGTAAGTGTCCAACTCTTGGGTTTCGGCTCAGGTAATCGTGGGGTGAGCCCTGCATCTGGCTCTGTGCTGGCAGTGTGGAGCCTGCTTGGGATTCTTTCTCTCCTTCTCTCTCTCCTTCTCACTCTGCCTCTCCCCCACTCACACACACTCTCTCTCCCAAAAATAAATAAACATTAAAAAAAATTTTTTGGGCGGGGCGCCTGGGTGGCCTAGTCGGTTAAGCATCTGACTTTGGCTCAGGTCATGATCCCAGTTTGTGTGTTTGAGCCCCGCATCGGACTCTGTGTTGACAGCTCAGAGCCTGAAGCCTGCTTCGGATTCTGTGTCTCCTTCTCTCTCTGCCCCTCCCCAACTTGTGCTCTATGTCTCTCAAAAAATAAATGTAAAAAAAAAAAAAAAATTTAAAAAAAAAACATATTTTTAAAGAATCTGAATAACTATTCAAAGATTACAAATCCAGGGACACATGGGTGGTTCAGTTGGTTGAGCACTGACTCTTGATTTCAGCTCATGTCACAATCCCAGGGTCATGGGAATGCGCCCCATTTGAGGTGCTGTGCTGAGCATGGAGCCTGCTTAGGATTCTCTCTCTCCCTCTGCCCTTCTCCCCATCTCATACTCTCACTCTCTTTCTCCCTCCCTCTCTGTCTCTTTCTCTCTCTCTCTCTCTTTCTCTCTCTCTCTCTCTCTATATATATATGCACAATAAGATTACAAATCCAAATCTAATGAGAGGGCTGATAAAAAGATACATCAGGGCATCTGGGGGACTTAGTAGGTTGAACATCTGACTCTCGATTTTGGCTCAGGTCATGATCTCACAGTTCGTGGGATTGAGCCCCACATCCAGCTCTGTGCTGACAGTGTGGAGTCTGCTCGGTGTTATCTCTCTCCTTCTCTCTCTGCTCATGCACCCTTGCGCATATGCTCTCTCTCAGAACAAGTGGATAAACTTTAAAGAAAAAAAAAGAAAATGCTTTAAAAAAAAGAAGATACATTGGTCTCTGAAATAAGTGAAAAAAAGTTCAAAATACTATTTTACTCAAACCAAATTTTTAAAATAACAGTAACATCAGGGGCACCTGGGTGGCTCAGTCAGTTAAGCATCTGACTCTTGGTTTTGGCTCAGGTCATGATCTCATAGCTGTGGAACTAAGCCCTCCATTAGGCTCCATATTGAGCGTGGAGCCTGCTTGGGATTTCTCTCTCTCCTTCTCTCTCTGCCCCTCCCCTGTACATGCTTACTTGCTCTCGCTCTCTCTCAAAATAACTAATAAAATAAACATTAAAAAAATAACAATGGGGTGCCTGGATGGCTCAGTCAGTTAAGCATCCAACTTCAGCTCAAGTCATGATCATACAGCTTGTGAGTTCGAGCCTCACATCGAGCAGCCTGGAGCCTGCTTCAGATTCTGTGTCCCCCACTCCCTCTTCCCTGCTCGTGCTGTCTCTCTCTCTCAAAAATAAATTTTATAAAGCTAAAAAAAATTTTAATAAATAAATAAAAAACAGTAACATTGGGGTGCCTGGGTGCCTCAGTTGGTCAAGTGTCCATCCGACTTTGGCTCAGGTCATGATTTTGCAATTTGTGAGTTTGAGCCCCACATCAGGTGCTGCACTGACCGTACAGAGCCTGCTTGGGATTCTCTCTCTTCTCTCTCTGCCCTCCCCTGCTCTCTCACACTCTCTCTCAAAATAAATAAAGTTTAAAAAAAAAAAGAACTTTTCACTATTGTATATTTGGTTGCAAGTAAGATCTTTACTTAAAAAAAAAAGGGCCCTGTTGCTTAACGAAAAAAATTAGAAAGGAAAGAAGAAAACCACTGGTCTAAAGAAGTGACTGTCAATGGGGGCAGAGGGAATCTGCCACCCAGGAGGCATGTGGCAATGCAGCAGACATTTTAGTTTTTTGACTTTTTTGTTTTTAGTCTAAATTATTTCTCTCCTCAGTTTCCAACATTTTCAACTGAATTCTCCATAAACCTGCAAGCACTTAAAAAAATCATGAAACATTAAAAAATAGTCCAAGGCTTTTCATTTTTGGCAGACTTGAAGATATTCTAGTTCTCATAGTAAGTTTCTAGGAGGTATGAGCTCTACCTGCAGTATTTCAAAGAAATAATTTAACTTTCTCTAGGTTTTTGGTTTGTTTGTTTTTTTTTTTAAGTTTATTTATTTATTTTGAGAGTTGAGGGGAAGGGGCAGAGAGAGAGGGAGAGAGAAAATTCCAAGCAGGCTCCATACTGCCAGCACTGATTCTGACATGGGGCTCGAATTCATGAACTGTGAGATTATGACCTGAGCTGAAAGAGCTCCCAAGAGTCGGATGCTTCACCGATGGAGCCACCCAGGCGCCCCTCTCCAGGTTTTCTGATAGGAAAATTCACTTAGGCATGCTTCCTGCAGACATTCTGGTTGTCACACTGGGGGTGGGTGCTCTTGGCATCTAGAGGGTGGAGGCCAAGGATGCTCAACAGGCTACAATTCACTGGGCAGCCCCAACAAAAGAATGATCTGGCCCAAAATGTCAGTAGAGTCCAGGTGGAGAAACCCTGTTCTAAAGGAAGGACTGAAGGAGAGAGATCAGAAATAGACACACTATTAAGATTATCATCCAAAAAAAGATGAGGACTGGGGGCACCTGGGTGGCTCAGTCGGTTAAGCCTCTGACTCTTGGTTTCAGGTCAGGTCATGATCTCACAGTTTCGTGGATTTGAGCCCCATGTCAGGCTCTGCACTGGCAACATGGAGCTTGCTTGGGATTCTCTCTCTTTCCCCCTCTTTCTGCCCTTCCCCTACTCAGGCTGTCTCTGTCTCTCTCAAAATAAATAAACTTTAAAAAAAAAATGAGGACTGGGATAAGGCAGTGGCTCTGACAGAGGCATGAGAGACACCATCCTTGAGCCCCAATCAGCAGAAACACTGAGGCCTTGTCCCATGTGAAGAAGAGACACAGGGATTTTTCTACAAACAGAGAATGCCAGGTACAATGCTGGTCTGCTATCGTCTGTGGGAGTTGCAAATAGTAGGAGCTGGGGATAATAAAAATAAGTCCTTCAAAATTTGCTTTTATTTTCTTTCACTCTAGACTGTTCTTATGTTACTGCCACTGCTTTGCATGTATAGAGGCTCTAAGCAAATGTTAGAACTTTAGTTTCCACATTTTCTTGACAAAAGGTTTCATAGTAAGAACTTAACAGATGTGAAGAGAAAATGGCAAGGAAGTTATTCAACTGTGAATCAAGGTTACACCCACCTGTGGTTTATCCAGTGAGGAATATTATAGTCATCGCCCAGCCGAGAATCACGAGGTGCACTTCGATTATGTAGCTAGAAGGGAAAAGCCAGTGCACAGATCAGCTAGAAAACAAGTAGGATGTGGAGCTGCTCCAACTGTTCTGTTTTTAAGTGTTCTCAAGATCACTCTAGTACTAGAGACTGGCCTTTAGTAAGCAATCCAAAATTGTATTACCTTGAACAATGGGACAGCATGTAATGGTTGCTCCCCCATGCACACCAAGTCCACACCAATTCCTAAAAAAGAGAATACAAAAAGAGTTTGGGGTCGGGGTGGGAGGAAGTAGAGATAAGTGTCCCAATCTATTAACAATATTATTTAACTAAACAAAACCGACTTCCCATCCTACACAGCAAAGAAGAAAAGAGATGCATTTTGTCTGTTTCTTCTTTACCAGGTCCCATCACACCTGCCATTATTCAGTGCTTGACAATTAGCCTTGGACTGCTTTGTAGATCATGATTTGTCAAAAGGACAACCCAGGCCTCTATTACTAAAGTTTCATGACCAGAAAGGAAAAGGAATCTTGAAATTTCAGTAAGACAGCAAAACAATCCATACCATTTAACAGAGCTTCTTAATTGACAATCCAGGATTTACACTCCACCCCCATCTTTTGGAAGCCCAAATTTAATGGAACCAGAATTACAAATTGGGAAAGCATGGCACACCACAGAGGGAGGACTAGATCAGACAATCTGATGGTAGTTCCCAAGATGGGCTGATGACACACTGGTCCCTTGAAACGATCCCTCCGAAGAGGTCTCCAGTGTCAGATATGTTTGGAAAACTCTGAGTACCTGTTACACGCATTAGAGATAAACAAGAAACACTGACAAATTAAAACCTACAATTAGGGAATCTGCCTAAACTGTATATGACCTAACATTTCCTTAACCGATTTGACCATAGAACGCTTTTTGTCCCCTAACATTATTCACATCCCCAGGATCTCCGATGCACAGAGCCAGGGAAAGCTCAGAGCTCTAAGGTAAGTGAGGCTATAAACACTCGGAGACAGTGCAAACCAGGGAGCATTACCATTATCTATCATTCGCTGCTTGGTCAAGATCATGAGTAGACGGTCCACTTCAAACACACCCACCCCAGGTGTGATCACCACAGACATCTGCCCAGTTCGGTCAAAGTTGCGGTTGATGTAGTGCTTGTCAAACACTTGAAAGAAAGCAAAAGTTCTCCAATGCAGATGTTACAGCTTTTCAGAAACCAGCCACTTGCAAGCCTCTCTATGCCCTCAGACTATTTTGTCCATGTTTCTATTGCAGCAACTGCAGTTCTGACCTGAATTCTAGTTAGCCGTGTGCACATCTTCCTTTCCCCTTCTACATTAAGAACTGCTTGAACACAAGACTATGCCAATGTTGCCTTTGTTAACACCCCCTCATTAATGCCTACTACTTGCCTTGTGTTGTCTTAAATGCTCAAATTTCATGTCTTTAGTTTAAACAATCCGTAAATGGGTCTGTACTGAAACTTACAAAAATATTAATTAAAAAAATTTTTTTTAATGTTTTTTTATTTATTTTTGAGACACAGAGAGACAGAGCATGAACAGGGGAGGATCAGAGAGAGAGGGAAACACAGAATCCGAAGCAGGCTCCAGGCTCTGAGCTGTCAGCACAGAGCCCAATGCGGGGCTCGAACTCACGGACCGTGAGATCATGACCTGAGCCGAAGTTGGACGCTCAACCAACTGAGCCACCCAGGCGCCCCTTAAATGTTTGTTTTATTTTTGAGAGAGAGAGGGAGTCAGAATCTGAAGCAGGCTCCAGGTTCTGAGCTGTCAGCACAGAGCCCAACGCCAGCACAGAGCCCAACGCGGGGCTCGAACTCACAAGCCACGAGATTGTGACCTGAGCTGAAGTCAGAGGCTTAACTGACTGAGCCACCCAGGCGCTTAAAAATTTTTTTAATGTTTTATTTATTTTTGAGAGCAAGAGAGAGACAGAATGTGAGTGGGGAGGGGCAGAGAGAGGGAAACACAGAATCTAAAGCAGGCTCCAGGCTCTGAGCTGTCAGCACAGAGCCCGACGTGGAGCTCGAACCCACGAAGTGTGAGATCATGACCTGAGCCAAAGTCTGGCGCTTAACTGACGAGCAACCCAGGTGCCCCTACAAAAATATTAATTTAAGACAATATTCAAAAGAATGGACAAGAATCTTGGGATGACTTTGTAAATTTGGCAAGTTAATTTTTATTTCTGTCCTGTACAATCCTTACTTTGGAAAACCAAACATATTCCAATATGAAAAAAAGATCTATAAATAAAAGACTCCATGCTTGGGCTGACTGACATGTCATGATGACATCATGTCATGATCTCACAGTTCATGAGTTCAAGCCCCTCCTTGGGCTCCATGCTGACAGTGAAAAGCCTGCTTGGCATTCTCTCTCTCCCTCTCTCTCTCTCAAAATAAATAAACTTAAAAGAAGGGGAAGGGCACCTGTGTGGCTCAGTCTGTTAAGCGTCTGACTTTGACTCAGGTCATGATCTCAGGGTTCGTGAATTCATGCTGACAGCTCAGAGCCTGAAGCCTGTTTCAGATTCTGTGTCTGTCTGTCTGTCTGTCTGTCTCTCTCTGCCCCTCCCTAGCTTGCACTGTCTCTCTCTCAAAAATAAATAAACATTTAAAAAAATTTTTTTAAATACAAAAATAAAAAGACCCATGCTTTAGAATTGCCAGCACGGGCAGGTTATACGTGTGAAGTGACCACACATCATTACTTCCACCACTGGCGAGTGTCAATGGATGCCTAACCAGAGCTGAGCCAATCAGACTCTCTGCTGGGAACACAGAATTCCGAACAGAGAGCAGAGAGCTGACAGCAGAGCTGGGAGCTGAACACTGCTCCAGGAATACCTGCTGCTGCAGTTCCTAGAGCCACTTTGGTCCCCACCTTCTTCAGCATAACGTTCAAGCCTTTCCTGATGGCCCACCAGGTCTCTATACCCTAAGAGTAACTTTTTCTTTTTTGCGTAAACCAATTCAGTAGGTTTCTGTTGTTTGCAAACAAAGCATATCAGCTAACACATCCAGGGACAAGCATTCGGAAGAAGTCACACCACACTGTTAAGAAGGTTCCCTCTTAGAAGGGAAATGACAGTAGAGGAAGGAGGGAGATCTTCATTTTTACTTGATATACCTCTGATTATTTGAATTCTTGAAACATGGGTTCCTTTTGTAATTAAAAAAAAAAAAAAAGATTTGAGGTGCCTGAGTGGCTCAGTCAGTTAAGTATCCAACTTCGGCTCAGGTCATGATCTCATAGTTCATGAGTTCGAGCCCTCCATCAGGCTCGTACTGACAGTGTGGAATCTGCTTGGGGTTCTCTCTCTCTCTCTCTCTCTCTCTCTCTCTCTCCCCCTCCCCCACTTGCACGTATTCTCTCTCTCTCTCTCTCTCTCAAAATAAACAAATAAACATTAAAAAAATTTTTTTTAAATTACTTAGAAGCAATTGAGGGATAGCATAGAAAACAGTAAGAATACAGTCTGTAGTAAGACAGCCCAAGGAAGATTCCCTCCAGCTCTTTACTCTCAAGTTACCATGAGAAGCAGATGAGAATAGCAAGTTAATTCCCCGGGGAAGATCTAAGAGCTAAATGTTGGCCATTAAAACCATCCAATCAGAAGTTACTTCTTTCAGTTAATCTTTGGAATACATGGGTGGGGAGATCTTCAACTGGGTCTGGGTCTTTGGACATTAGTAAAAAGAAGTTCACGGCCATGTGGTAAATAAGATGCCAGATCACCACGGCTGTGTTCTTACTCACCATTGAATGACAGATTGATGGCCTCTAGGTAGTTTCCTTGTGCTGAGGTAGAATTATCTCCTTGAGGAAAGCCCTCTGAAGCAAAAGACATAAGAGAAGGAAAAGTATCCCATGAAAGATGAACTCTTAAAGAACAAGTGGAAAGTGTCTGGCTCCATAGGTCCCCCTACCCTGTAGTAGGTATACTATTGAACTTACTGCATATGTAATGAACAATTAGACCCAACTGGAAATAGAAACCTGACCAGAAGCAGAAACTCTGTCCAGCACTGTGAAAGAAGCAAGCATGAACCTCTCCTCTCCCAGACTCCATCCTACACCTCCTTTCCCTGCCGCACTTTCTGTCATTATGAATGCAGTACCTGCCTGTTCCAGTCGCACCAACACTGGATACTGGATAAAGAGTTTTTTAATGGTCACAAGGAGTGATGTCCACTCTTCTCTCCTCTCATTCTGCACCACCACTCTGAAAGGAATATTGTCATAAAATAGACATTGAGCAGCTACTACATACATCAGGTTTCTCACAGAATTTCAAAAGAAAGGAGAAGATGGGATTTCCAGGGTTAAGGTAATTTACCATATAATAATAAGTATTAAAGCCAAGTGCATGTAACAAACATTAACAAAGACCTGTATTACCAATAGTCATATAGATTGAAAACAAAAAGTAAGAAAATATTTAAAAATTGCCTTGAAATCATATTAATACCTAGTATTCAGCAGAAACATGAAATCTTCATACAATGAATTATAATTAGGTGGTATATAAGAAGCATAAAATAAAACATCTATATGTAGGTTTTACATATATATCTAATAAACAAATCTATGACAGGGAACTACATTAGTAGAAAGGGATAGGTGAGAATCTGTTTACTGTAGAGCTTGTGAACCTTAAAACCTTAAAAATACATGTGACTGCATTACAAAAAATAAAAATAAATATGTGTGTATATGTGTGTGTGTGTGTGTGTGTGTGTGTGTGTGTGTGTGTGTACACATATACATACAGGTTTGCATGTGTGTGTATGCTAGGAATTTATCTTAAAGAAACATACAGGGGGGCGCCTGGGTGGCGCAGTCAGTTAAGCGTCCGACTTCAGCCAGGTCACGATCTCGCGGTCTGTGAGTTCGAGCCCCGCGTCGGGCTCTGGGCTGATGGCTCAGAGCCTGGAGCCTGTTTCCAATTCTGTGTCTCCCTCTCTCTCTGCCCCTCCCCCGTTCATGCTCTGTCTCTCTCTGTCCCAAAAATAAATTAAAAAACATTGAAAAAAAAACTTTAATAAAAAAGAAACATACAGGACCCAGAATAGCCAACCCAATATTGAAGGAAAAGAACAAAGGTGGAAAACTAACACTATCCAACTTCAAGACTTAACTATAAAGCTACAAATAAAGCTAAAGATAGTGTGGCATTGGTGAAAGAGTAGATAGATAGATCAATGGAACAGAATAAAGGGCCCAGAAACAGAACCCCCAAAATATAATCAGATTTTTTTTTAATGTTCATTTATTTTTGAGAGAGAGAGCTAGTGAGCACAAGCTGGGGACAGGTAGAGAGAGAGGGAGAAACAGAATCTGAAGCAGGTTCCAGGTTCTGAGATGTCAGCACAGAGTCTGATGTGGGGCTCGAACCCACGAACCATGAGATCATGACCTTAGTCAAAGTCAGATGTTTAACTGACTAAGCCACCCAGGCACCCCAATAGATCTTTGACAAAGAAGCAAAGACAACACAATGGAACAAAGACATTCTTTTCAACAAATGGTGCTGGAGCAACTGGACATCCACACACAAAAAATAAGAAAAGAAAAAGAATCTAGATACAGACTATACACCCTTCATAAAATTAACTCAAAACAGATCATAGACCTAAATATAAAATGTAAAACTATAAAACTCCTAAAAGATAACATACCAGAGAACCCAGATGACACTAGTTGGGGTGGTGACTTTTTTTTTAAGTTTTATTTACTTGTTTTGAGAGAGAGAAAGTGAGAGAGAGTGTGCGGGTACTGGCAGAAAAGGGGCAAAGAGGGAGAGATAATCCCAAGCACACTCCACACTGTGAGCGCAGAGCCTGACATGGGGCCCGACTCACCAACCATGAGATCATGAACCAAGTCAAAATCAAGTTGGACACTTAACTGACTGAGCCACCTAGACGCCCCTAGGGTGATGACTTTTTAGATTCAACACCAAAGCCACAATCCATGAAAGAGAAAAACTGATAAACTAGACCTTATTAAAATTAAATAACTTTTGCTCTGGGAAAGACAATGACAAGAGAATTAGAAGACAAGCCACAGACTAGAAGAAAATGTCAGCAAAAGACACATCTGATAAAGAACTACCATCCAAAAACACAAAGAACTCTTAAAACTCAATAATCAGAAATAAACAACCCAATTTAAAGATGGGCAGAATACCTGAACAGACACCTCACCAAAGAAGAAATACACATGGCAAATAAGCATAAGAAAAGATGCTTCACATCATGTCATATGGGGAAATGCAAATTAAAACAGCAATAAGTGACGATTAGAATGGCCAAAATCTAGAACACTGACAATACCAAATGCTGGTAAGGATATGGACCAATAGGAACTTTGAGTCACTGCTGGTGGGAATGTAAAATAATGGAGTTACTTTGGAAAACAGTTTGGTGGTTTCTTACAAAACTAAATATACTCCTATCACATGATCTAGAAATCATACTCCTTGGTATTTCCCCAAATGAGTTGAAAACTTAGGTGCACACAAAAACCTACACATGAGTATAGAAACTTTATTTATAATTGCCAAAACTTGAAAGCAACCAAGATGTCCTTCAGTAAAGGAATGGGACAAACTGTGATACATCCAGACAATGTAATACTACTGAGTGCTAAAAAGAAATGAGCTATTAAGCCATGAATATTACTTAAATATATTACTAAGTGAAAAAAGCCAACATGAAAAGGTTACATACTATATGATTCCAACTCTAGGACTTTCTGGAAAAGGCAAAACTGTACACACTCTAGAAAGATCAGTGGTTGCCAGGGGATGGGGGTTGGGGGGAAGGGATAACTGGAACACTAAGGATTTTTAGGGCAGTGAAAATACTCCATAATGATGGAGACATGTCATTATATATTTGTCCAAACCAACAGAATATACAACACCAAGAGTGAACCATAAGGTAAACTATGGACTCTCAGTGATTATGGTGTATCTGTGTAGGTTCATTAATTGTAACAAATGCACCACTCTGGTGAGGAATGTTGATAATAAGGGGAAGGGCACTATGTATGTGTGGGCAGAAGAGGTGTATGGGATATCCCTGTAACTTCTCTCAATTTTGTTATGAACCTAAACAGCTCTAAAAAAATAGTCAAATTAAAAAAAAAAAAAAGACAAGAAACATTCAAAATGCATAACTATATATGTATTTATATAGATACATAGATACACAGTGGTACATAGATCAATTTTAAAATGAGAAAAATATTAAATATCTAACAATAAGGAATTAAATTGTGATAAAATTTTAGACTATGACAAACTATTATATAACTACCAAAAATTATATGATTCTCTGATAATTGTTTAATATGAATAATGGGTATATGAAGGCTCATAATGCTATTCTCTCCACCACAATACATCTGATTTTATTAAAAATAAGACAAGCCAGGGGCACCTGGGTGGCTCAGTTGGTTAACTGTCCGACTTCGGCTCAGGTCATGATCTCACAGTTTGTGGGTTCAAGCCCATGTCAGGCTCTGTGTTGACAGCTCAGAGCCTGGAGTCTGCTTCGGATTCTGTGTCTCCTTCTCTCTCTGCCCCTCCCCAACTTATGCTCTGTTTCTCTATGTCTCTCAAAAAATAAATAAATGTTAAAAAATAAAATAAAATAAAAATAAGACAAGCCAGGGGCACCTGGGTGGCTCAGTCGGTTAAGCATCTGACTTCAGCTCAGGTCATGAGCTCACGGTTCGTGAGTTTGGGCCCTGCGTCAGGCTCTGGGCTGACAGCTTAGAGCCTGGAGACTGCTTCGAATTCTGTGTCACCCTCTCTCTACCCCTCCCCTGCTCATGCTCAGTCTCTCTCTCTCTCTCTCTCTAAAAAATAAAACAGAGGCGCCTGGGTGGCTCAGTCAGTTGAGCAACCAGCTTCAGTTCAGGTCATGATTCCACGGTTTGTGAGTTAGAACCCCGTGTTGGGCTCTGTGCTGACAGCTCAGAGTCTAAAGCCTGCTTCTGATTATGTGTTTCCCTCTCTCTCTGCCCCTCCCCCACTCATGCTCTGTCTCTCTCTAAGAAAGAAATAAACATAAAAAAATTTTTTAAAATAAAATAAAAATAAAACATTAAAAAAATTAAAAATAAATAAGTAAAACAAGCCAAAGAAATCATCCAATTTTAAAATGGGCTAAACAGAAAAAGATCTGGAGAAATATATATCACAGTATTTATTTTTATTTTTATATTTTGAAGTTTATTTATTTATTTTGAGAGACAGAAAAAGTGAACTGGGGAGGGGCAAAGTAAGAAGAAGAGACAGAATCCCAAGCAGGCTCTGCACCGCCAGCACAGAGCCTGATGCGGGGCTCGAACTCACATACCATGAGATCATAACCTGAGCCGAAACCAAGAGATGGACACTAAACCAACTGAACCACCCAGGTGGTTCACACAGTATTAAAAGTACTTCCCTTTGGATTGCAAAATCAGATAGAGGGTAAGACAAAAAACAAAAAAAGATGAAAAAATTAGCTAAGAAGATGAATATATAACTCATAAAAGAAAAATACAAAGGCCAATAAGTATAGGAAAATATTCACTCTTGGTAATAAAAGAAATGACTATTAAGACTCAGTGAGATAACTTTTTTCCCACTCCAATTGGGAACGAGTCAGAAAAAGGAAGAAAATAGTATTCAGTATTGATTAAAAAAAAAAAGAGAAATAACATGGTTACTGGGAAAATAGGATTTTTCACTTCAATGTTTTTGGAGGGCAATTTGGCTGTAAAAATGAAAAGTATGAACAAAAACAAAGTATCTTTGACCCCATACCTCCATTTCTGGGAACTTATCTTAAGTGTATGTTGAAGGTTATGCCAAGTTATAAGGGTATAACTAAGGTCATCAGGTTATGCTAAGATTATAACTAAGGTTATGCTTACAGACTGTAAGATCATTCATTGGTAGAACTTTGACAATAGTGAAAAATTGAAAATCACCTCAATGTTCAATAATAGTTGGCAATCAAGTGAAATGTCTACATAGCAATAAAAATGATGCTGTGGAAGTAGAATATTTGACATCAAATGGCATTTGTGATACAGTAGGTGGAAAATGCCAGTATTTTATTTTATCTTATTTTATTTTATTTTACTTTATTTTATTTTATTTTATTTTATTTTATTTTATTTTATTTTATTTTATTTTATTTTATTTTATTTTATTTTAATTTTGTGAGAGAGAGAGAGAAAATGTGTGCAATTTGGGAAGGGGCAGAGAGAGAGAAGAGAGAAAGAGAATCCCAAGCAGGCTCTTCACTGTCAGCACAGCGCCAGATGTGGGGCTCAAACTCACAAATCATGAGATCACAACCTGAGCCGAAATTGGATGCTTAACCAACTGAGCCACCCAGGAGCACCCCCATGCCCTGGAAAATGCCGTTTTAAAAAAAAGCATGGGAGTCTGTAATGACATCTCTGTGAAAACTGTTTTTTGTCTCTGTAAACAGAGAAGTGGGTTTGATGCTCTCAGGTGATGATGACTGCATCTGGGAGGTGGAATTGTTTTGAATTACTCTTAACTATACTTTGTGATTTTCCTAAAATAAACCTGTATCATTTTTATAGAAGGAAAAACACAACCAAAGCTTCTTTTGCTCTAAAAAAAAATGTTGTGGATGACTTTTTAATGATGTGGGGAAATTTTTTTTAAGTTTATTTATTTTGAGAGGGAGAGAGAGGGAGAGAGAGGAGACAGACAAAATCCCAAGCAGGCTCTGCTCTGTCAGCACAGAGCCCAACACGGGCCCAATTCCACACACCCTGAAATCATGACCTGAGCCAAAACCAAAAGTCTGACACTTAACCAACTGAGCCACCCAGGCACCCTGGGAAATTTATATTAATGATATGTTCATATGCATATATAAATCTACATTCATAACTCATACATTCATGTTTTATATAATGTTTTAATATGTCCATAATTATATTCAAATGAATTCATACTCGTTATGTACAAATGGCTTCATGTACTCTTAAGCCACAAGAGCTCTCAAGGGTCCAGGAATCAGGGGTGCATGGCTGGTTCAGTTGGTAGAGTATGCAACTCTTGATCCTGGGGTTGTGAGTTCAACCCCCATGCTGGATCTAGAGATTACTTAAAAAATAATAATAAAGAGGTTCCAGGAATCCACTGAAGTGGTTTGAAGAATTTATCAGTGTAAAGGGATAAATGGTAATAATGTTGGGGGAAGAAATGGCCCATCCTTTCATGAAATTCTCACAGGGATACAGGACCCAAAAGAAGATCAACAAATACTTTAAAGTAAGATCAGTATGGGGTTGAAGAATACAGTGGTCAAAAGCACAGACTCTGAATTAGACTGAGTCAACTGCATCCTCTGTCACTTAATCCTCCATGGGCTTTGGATAAGTTAAACTCTGTATCCAAGTGTCTACATCTATAAAATGAGATGAGTAACTATCACAAGGAATGTTGTGATATTTAAATGAAACAAGATGCCTAAATTTGCTTAGAATCAGGCCCCGTACATAAGTCCTGAATACAAATGATAATTATTACCATCTTATTTTCACCTCAATAGTGAAGCCACTATTATTTTCTATCTTGTGCTCTTTTATAGATTTTTCAAAATTTCTACAACAAAGATGCATTATTTCTTCAGTGATATAAAAAGGTGATCCAACAAGTGATAAAGGAAATACAGTTGTCCCTTAAACAACATAGGGGTTAGATGCAGTGATGTCCCTGCCCTGTGCAACAGAAAATCTGCATGTATGTTTTGACTCCCTGAAAACTTGACTGGAAGCCTTACTGATAACTTAAACATTAATATATTGTGTATGTTATAGGTATTATATATTATATTCTTACAATAAAACAAGCTAGACAAAAGAAAGTGGTATTAAGAAAATCACAAGTTGGGGGAGGGAGGGGGGCCTGGGTGGCTCAGGTGATTAAGCATCTGACTCTGATTTCGGCTCACATCATGATTTTGTGGTTTGTGAGTTTGAGCCCCAAGCTGAGCTCTGCACTGGCAGCGTGAAGCTTGCTTGGGATATTTTCTCTCTCTCTCTCTCTCTCTCTCTCTCTCTCTCTCTCTCTCTCTCCCCCTCCCTCCCCTATTTGAACTCTCTCTCTCTCTCTCTCCCCCTCCCTCCCCTATTTGTACTCTCTCTCTCTCAAAATAAATAAAGAAAAAATAAAAAAGAAAATCATAAGGAAAATACCTTTATAGTACTGTCTTGTAGCTATCAAAAAAAATCCACATGTAACTGGATCCGTGCAGTTCGAACCCATGTTGTTCATATTGTAAAAACAAACACAAAAGATTAAGCTAATAATGATGCATGATTCTAGGAAGAAATCTGGATCAGGAAAAACATTTCAATAAGGAATATTAGGACAATTGGCAAAATCTTACATTCTCTTACAAAGTCCTTGGTCCTTAAAAGATGATAATGAAGTAGAACATAATCATGTGTCTACTAAATGTTAATAATTGGTAAATCTAGGTGAAAAGTATACAGATTCATCATATTCCTCTTTCAATGTTCTCATAATTGAAAAGATTTTGAGATTAAAAGTTAAAAAGGTTACTCCAAAAACAGCCTTAAAAAGTTTCATAATTTGTCACTCTTTGGTGCTTATCCACAATTTACGGGGTTTTTTTAATATATATAATTACTAAAGAATATTTATTCTTTAGAAATGCTATTACAAAGTTGAGAAGGGAGAGAAAAATACAAATTGGCATTTGGTATTGGCTTCAGACTTAGGAGGGAACTAGCTACAAAGAAATATGTTTAAGGCTCCAGGTTGGGAGGGAGGGGAGAGGATTGGCCATCTGACACAAAAACTAAACCCACAAAGTAAACTGTTACTGTAGAACACAAAGACATTGTATTTCAGAGTTTAAGATAGGAAGGGAAACTAGCAAAGGGTTCCTCCTCTGGGTTACAGAAGGAAACAGTCTAAGGAAGCAAGACTGAACCAATGACAGAGTAGTGCATTTGAGAGAAGCAGTCTCTAAGGGCTTTAACAAGTATAGTTAGTTGATGAAATGTGCTCAGTTTCAAAGGACTTGGTTTTTACTTTAACATAAAATCTTGGTACTTCAGGCAAGAATAAAATAATCCATTTAAAATCTACAAAGCAAAAGGGTTTCTTTTTATTTTTTTTAATGTTTATTCATTTTTGAGAGAAAGTATGAGCGGAGGAGAGGCAGAGAGAGAGGGAGAGAGAAAGAATCCTAAGCATTCTCTGTGCTGACAGGAGAGAGCCCAATGCGGCACTTAAACTCACAAACCATGAGATCATGACCCAAGCTGAAGTTGGACACTCAATCAACTGAGCCACCACCCAGGCACCCACAAAAGGGTTTTTAAAGTCTGTTTTGAGATCTACTCTAGCTTCCACCTGAAGCGCCAAGAATCACGTGATAAACTTCTCCACAGATCTGAGAGTTTAAAAGATCAAGGGCCTTCAGCTCCAGGCCCAAGTGCAACCCATCCGACTGTATCTACTACGCTTCTATCATCTCACAAAGCATTCCCTTATTCAGGAGCACTGTCAGCACATCTGGACTGATGTGCATTCCTGATAAGTCTTACAAAAAAGGTCCAACCTAAATCCCATCAAGTCTTTAGAGAGGGCTTCTCAACCTCAGCACCATTGTTACCTTGAGCTAAATAACTTTGCAGCGGGGGCTGTCCTGTGCGCACTGCAGGATGCATAGCAGCATCCCTGGCCTCTACACAGTAGGTATCAGTTGTACAACCTCCCCTTCCTACCTATCCTATACCGTTTTGACCAAAAGGAAAAAGAAGTCTCTAGACACTGCCAAACGCCTGGGGTGAGTGGAGAGGGCAGCTAAATTGCCCCAGTTGTAACCTCTGATTTACAGAAAATAAGTACCGCCACAAGGATGCAATCAGACAAATCCAGAAGGGGTCCTCCTTAGCCTCCCTACTCAAAATGGGGTACAGAAACCAACATATGCAAGCATAGAAACTAGTTAGACATGCAGAATCTCAGGCCCACCCCAGGACTCCTGAACTGATTGGACTCAGCACAATCCCCAGGGGAGGTTCATAGGCACACGGAAGTTTGGAAAACACAGTACTACAGAACTACCAACTCAGAGTCTTCAACATGTCACATGTTTGGGGACAAAAAGGAAGGGTGAAATTGCTTTAGATTAAGACTTAACAGGCAGATTAAACAGAAGTTATCAGAGAATTAATGAAACCTAAATATGTACTAGATATTAGATGATATTATAGAATTGACTTTGTCCAATGTGACCATGATATTGTGGTTATATGTGAACTCAACCTATCTTTTAGATATGTGTAAGAACAAAATGTCATATTTATAATTTACTTTAAAATAAAATGTAGCCAAAAAACAGATGAAGCAAATGCAGCATAATAATAGCTGTTAAATCTAAGTGTTGGGTGTGTGAATTTATTATATTATTTGTTCTTCTTTTCTATGAGTTTGAAATTTTTCACAGTACAAAGTTTGAAAAGTCTAAATGCAATGTGGTAACCTGGATTGGATGCTGGAATGAAAAAGGTACATAAAGTGGGAAAACTGATGAAATATGAGAATTGTCTGAATCAGTTAATAGTACTATACCAGTGCTAATCTCATAGTTTTGACAAATGTACCATAGTTAGGAAATATTAACAAGGAAAACTGGGTGAAGGGTATATGTGAACTCTCTGTGCTACCTTTGCAACTATTCTGTAAACCTATTATGCCAAAATTAAAGGGTTACTTTTTTTTTTAAGTTAGGAAAGAAACAGCCAAGAAAAAGGCGGGGGGGGGGGCATAGCAAAGCCTCAAACATACTTATAAAAGTCTTCATAGTACCGTCCCTTGTGATCCTGTCGAATTGAGGCTCGGTTTATTTCAGGAAATTCATCTGAAAAAGAGAAAACAACACATGTAGATCAGGTTGAGAAGAGAAATTCACAGTTTATCTGCTCCTCCTTCTGGGTTGAAGATTTGCATTACCAAAATAAATGAACAAATGAATGAATGAAATTATATCAAGTTGGCTTTAAGATGAATCATGGCCCACAGACTTCTTGCATCCACTAATGGACTGTGTTGTTTTCCATTTTACCCTACGCTCATTAGAGAAAAAGTGGGAAAGATGAGTGGGAAAGATGAAAAAGGGAAAGATGATAAAGAATGGATGGAAAGCTTAATAAAAAGAACTATAGGGGGCGCCTGGGTGGCTCAGTCGGTTTAGCGTCCGACTTCAGCTCAGGTCATGATCTCACGGTTTGTGAGTTCAAGCCTCATGTCAAGCTCTGTGCTGACAGCTCAGAGCCTGGAGTCTGCTTTGGATACTGTGTCTCCTCCTCTCTCTGCCCGCCCCCCCCCCCCCGCCATACTCATGCTCTTTCTCTGTCTCTCAATAATAAACATTAAAAAAAAAATTTTTTTTTAACTGTTAGCATTAAAAAAGGAACTGTAGGAGAAAGACTTACCAAGAGATTTTGCATCATAGAAAGTTCTAGAAAATAGGACCACTGTCACTTCATGACTACAGTTCTTCTCCTAGGAATGAGTAGAGAAAAAGCAGCTCAAGTTTATTTCATTCACTTCATGATGAAGCAGCCTGCATTAACATAATATTCTCAATTCTAGGAGACTCAGTGGCAGCACACTGTATTGGATGATGTCACATCATTGTAGGTTGCATGATGCAGTGAACAGAGCACTGCTGGAGTGAGAAGATGCAGGTTGAGTCCTGGCCCGGAAGTTTACCACTATGTAACCTTGGGCAATAGTCCCAGGAATGCGAAAAGTGCTTTGAAAACAGCAAGTCATCAATACGTATGGGTCACTATCTCTGTTCTTGATTTGGCATGAACTAGATGAACCCAATATCAAAGGATCATGGTATGTGTACCTGCTTCATGGTGTTTTTAAAATTTCTTCAGAACCATAGTTTAGGAACAAGAACAGAACACATAGTGCTGAATGTAAGAATCAAATACACCCCCCACATCCTACCACTGTCATAAAATCAGGGTTGGGAGCTGCTCAAGATGCAGCAGTTGAAGCCAAGGTGTCATAGTACCTTTGGATTGAGATGGGGACTAGTGAGAATAAACATTTCCATGGAGTCTGGAAATCAACATTCTGGAAACAGGGTGTTTACAGATAGCATGAAATGTGGCTCGCACCAGTAAGCCAGCAAGCCCAGTTTCAGTTCCTCCTGGATCTTCGAAGATGAGTGCTTCCACTGACCAACCCCATCTCTAACCCACCATGTTGACTGACTACACAATTCAGCATTTACCATGTAAGGTATATATACAACATGATGCACATAACATGCCACCTTATATTCCCCCATGGATATATCTCAAGTGGACAGAAATTCCTAAATACAAGCAACAGCACCAAGAGCAGAGTGCTAGGAAAGAGCAAATCTTCATTAGTCACCTACTAATTTATTGGATGCCCAGTGCTCCAAACTCAACTCCAAATTTATCTGACTTTGGTGTAAGTGATAAATAAGAATAAATGCCTTACAACGATTGGACTGGTGTGGGTTTATGAGCCTCTTAACTCATGTGACAGTGGGGCTAACATACAACAGGTGGCATGGCCTGGGGTAATAATACAGACAGGATAGCACAGAGGCCACGATCTCAGGGTAGCTCTGGGAGAATGGAGGGCACCAGATGAGAATCCTCATTCTGCTTTCACATGCTGTTGATCATGGGCAAGTTACCCAACTTCACTGAGCTGTACTTTCCCTACCAGTATTAACAGGAGCAAGAGGATTGAGTGAGATAATGTAGGCAAAACACATACCATGATACTAGGTATGTCAAAATACTCAATGAATGTTAACTGGGACTACTACTATTATCCCCACCCCTACTATATTTTGGGCTCTGAAATGAATTCATGAACTCCCATGCTCAATCCTGCTGTCCACAGTGTTAGCTGTAAGTTATTCAATAGGAGGCATAAAGAACAACCGAGGTGCCTGGTGGCTCAGTTAGTTGAGTGACTAACTCTTGATTTTAGCTCAGGTCACGATCTCACCGTTTGTGGGATCAAGCCCCATGTTGGGCTCTGTGCAGCACAGCACAGAGCTTGCTTGGGATTCTCTCTCCCTTTCTCTCTGTGTCTTCCCTGCTTGCTCACTCTCTCTCTCTCTCACTCAAAATAAATCAACTTAAAAAAACTGTAAAAAGGTATAAACAACGTTCACCTTCACCAAATATCATTAAATCAATACAGAGTGGCTACAGAAAGTTATTTTAATTCATTTTCAAGCTCCTGCTTTAAAACCAAGTTTTTTAAATTTTTTTTTTTCAACGTTTATTTATTTTTGGGACAGAGAGAGACAGCATGAACGGGCGAGGGGCAGAGAGAGAGGGAGACACAGAATTGGAAACAGGCTCCAGGCTCTGAGCCATCAGCCCAGAGCCCGACGCGGGGCTCGAACTCACGAACCGCGAGATCGTGACCTGGCTGAAGTCGGATGCTTAACCGACTGCGCCACCCAGGCGCCCCTAAAACCAAGTTTTAAAAAAATTTTAAAACCAAGTTTTAAATTTTTAAATTTAATTTTTAAAACCAAGTTTTAAAAAAATTAACAAATCCTAAGAGTGAAGTCCTATAAACTAATGACTAGGCCTATGCCAAACCCTACCCCTATTATCTAATCAAAAGTCCATTCATAGACTGTAGGGTGAGGGGACATCTAAGGGACACTGAGTCAGACTTGAAATGGAGGTTTTCACACACCCAATACTGAAATGGCCACTATGTGGTCCAAGGTGACCATTATTTAGCCCACCTCAAACTTTAGCCCCTGTACTCAGGCAGACACAAAGGCCTCATCACTGTTAAGCCACATGACTGCAGAAGCCTCCTGGCTGGTCTGCTTAATTCCATGTGTCACTTCACCACACTGCTCCTGGCCACTTGGACTACTCTTTCCTCAAATTCTCCCCAGCTTTGATCATATTGACCACTTGCTTGAGAATCTTTAATAGTTCCCACACTTCCTGTCAAGTCCAAACTGCCTGGCTTGATGTGACCCCATCCTTTGAATCTATCTTACTACTTAATTATTCCCTACACTAACCCTCTGTGAAGTTGCCTAAGACCATACCCTACTCTCATGCTCATCTACACCCTTTTGTTCAAACTGTTCATCTGACATACCCTCTCCATCTTCCTTTCCAACCATCCAAACCTTCCTCAGTCTTCAGGTCCAAATTCAAAAGTAAATAAAATTCTAACCCCTAAAACATATGGCTTTCTATTGTTTCAAATATGTAGATGCAAGCTCCCCAGCAGATCCGTAAGTTCTCTGAGGGCAAGCGTCATCTATTTCCATACCCTTCACAGCTGATGGATAGTGCCCCCATATTGCTGAGGTAGGAAGACGGTACTTAGATTCAACTGAGACCTTACTATGTACAGATGCTTTAAAACACCTTGTGAGGCAGGGACTATTATAATCTCTATTTTGCAGAAAAGAAAACAGAGGCTCAGAAAGACTGACTACTTCTCCAAGATTTAAAAAAAAAAAAAAAAAAAAAAGCTAATCAGAGCAGAATCATAATTTTAAACCCAGTCCATTTTTATCCAAACCCCACGCTCTTTGCCACAACATAATGTGACCTCAAATAGCTCTCCTACATTAGGTCTTTGATCCCCCTTGAGTTAATTTTTGTATATGATGCAAAGTAAGACTCCAAGTTCATTCTTTTGCATATGGATATTCAGTTGCCTCAGAACCATCTGTTGAAGAGACTCTTCTTTCCCTCATTAAATGGACATCTTTGTCTAAAATCAACTGACCACAGATGTATCGATTGATTTCTTGTACTCTCAATTCTATTCCATTGATTTACAAATCTATCTGAATGCCAGTACCACATGGTTTTGACTATTTTGGCTTTGTAGTAAGTTTTGAAATTACGAAGTAAGAGTCCTCCAACTTTATTGTTCTTTCTCAAGGTTGTTTTGGCTACGCAGGATCCCTTGCAATTCTTCATAAATTTTACAATCAACTTTTCCATTTCTGCAAAAAAAGGCCACTGGGATTCTGATAGGGACTGAACTATAGTTTGAGTAGTATTGCCACTTTAACGGTATTAAGTCTCCCAATCTATGATTATGGGTTGGTTCTTTCTCACTTATTTAGATCTTTATTAATCTCTTTCAGCAAGGTTTTATAGATTTTAGCAAACAAATATTGCACCTCCTTGGGTAAATTAATTGAAAGTATTTTATTCTCTCAGATGCTCTTGTATATGGAATTTTTTAAGTTAATTCTCTTTTTAATTTTTGTTTTAAGTTTATTTATTTATTCTGAGAGAGAGAAAGAGAGTGAGTGGGGAAAGAGCAGAGAAAGAGGGAGATAGACAGAATCCCAAGCAGGCTCCTCACCAGCAGTGCAGAGCCTGACACAAGGCTCGAATTCACAAACCGTGAGATCATGACCTGGGCCAAAACCAGGAGTCAGACACCCAAGCAACTGAGCCACCCAGGTGCCCCAATTTAATTCTCTTTTTAAAATTTAATTCCTTGGGGGAGCCTGGGTGACTCAGTTGGTTAAGTGTCTAACTCTTGATCTCAGTTCAGGTCATGATCTCAGGATTGCGAGTTCAAACCCCTGTTGGGCTCTGTGCTGGGTGTGAAGCCTACTTAAATAAGTACATACATACAATTTATTTCTTTGCTTTTAAATTTCTTGTTCAGAGTGTTCATTGCTGATGAAATACAACTGATTGCTTGTGTTGATTTTGTAACCTTGCAGCTTTGCTGAATCCATTTCTTAGCTCTAATAGTTTTGTGGTGAATTTTAGGATCTTCTACATATAGGAGATCATCTGTCAATAGAATAGTTTTATTTCTTCTTTTCCAATATGTATGCTTTCTATTTTTTTTCTAGTTGCTGAGGCTAGAACTTCAAGTACAATGCTGAACACCAGTGGTGACAGCAGGCATCCTCACCTTGTTCCTAATCTTTTTTTTTTTAGTTTTTTTTTTAATGTTTATTTTAGAGAGAGACTGTGTGAGCAGGGGAGGGACAGAGAGAGGGAGACACAGAATCCGAAGCAGGCTCCAGACTCCAAGCTGTCAGCACAGAGCCCGACACGGGGTCTGAACTCATGAGCTGTGAGATCATGACATGAGCCAAAGTCGGTCGCCCAACCGACTGAGCCACCCAGGCACTCCACCTTGTTCCTTATCTTAAGGAGGAAAGTTTTTAGTCTTTCACCATTGAGTCTGATGTCAGCTGTGGGTTTCTCATAAATGACCTTTATCATGTTGAGGCAGTTAAAGTAATTAAATCTATAGTTTTATCAATTTAGGCTTTAGCTTAGATACTTTAACTAAAGGCAGCTTAGTAGAAACAGTGTATTTCTAAAATCTGCAATGACTGTAATGAGGTTTACTATATAAAAAACATACCTTCCACTTGGTAAAGAGATCAGCAAGGAAACCATTCACAGCTTTCTCAAAATATAGATCCCCTGAAAAGCAATGAGAAGAGGGTGAAGATTATCTTTATTTCTTGTTCACAATATCTTCTCTCAGTAAAATACCAGGAACAAGACCAAAGAGAAGGTGGGTTCTGCTGTATCTTAAAACAAGATCCTAAAAGCCAGATGTATAGAAGTGTTCAACTTAGACTTTCTACCAAGCCAAATTTAGTATCTGCCTAAGAGGCCATGGCTCCAAGGTAACATCCAAGATTGAAACACTTTGATGCTTTAAAAATACAGAGTTGGGGTGCCTGGGTGGCTCAGTCAGTTAAGTGTCCAACTCTTGATTTCGGCTCGGGTCATGGTCTCACAGTTCATGGGTTAAAGCCCCAAACTGTTCAAGCTGACAGCATGGAGCCTGCTAGGGTGTCTGTCTGTCTCTCTCTCGCACACGCGTGAGTGTGCGCTCTCTCTCTCAAAATAAACTTTTTTTAAAAAAGAAAAATACAGTGTTATCTTCAGAATGAGACGAAGAATATATACTAAATGTGAGTATTTCACAATGACGTTCAAAGTTGATTAGAAGAGGACCCTGGGCATTCACTGAATTATCATTTGCAGTTCTTGTTGTTCTTGAGTGACCTTGATGACCCATGGCACAAATTCGCTTATAATTTGCTAAACACAAATATGAAATACATGCACTATAGGGTTGGTGTGTTGGACACAGTATCCACACCTCATAGCAGTTTTTTTCCCTCTACTCATTACATAGTAATTCTAATAAAATGAGACCAACATGGAGATTTCTCTGAGTGACAGGAAGAGAAATGAAAGATATCAAAGAAAGTGTTGTTTCCTACCCACAGAGTGACTTTATGACTTTTCAACCTATACTTACAGAACAATTAAAGATCTGAGAAGTCAGATTTTCCATTAATACTGTACAGCATTTCATGGAATTCACCAAATAAATAAATAAATGTCTGTGTGTGTGTGTGTGTGTGTGTGTGTGTGTGTGTGTGTGTAAAATATTTACTTTCAATATATTTATTTTCGCATTTGAGGATTTATAAAGATCTCAAGATACATTTTTAGAGAATGTCAACATCTTGCTATAAAATGATACCAACTTGGGGGAAACCAGAAATATCTACCAAATGGCAGCTACAACCATCACTTAGGGACAGTACCATAAATATCGAAATCCCACATTTCACAGCTCATCTGAATAAATATGTAAACCATAGCCGACGTAGAACGGAACACCACCTGAAATAAACAAAAACATAGTTGCATTAAAAAGCAATGATGTAGTTTCAGTTGTGCAAGAAGAAAAAGTTCTGTAGATTCATTTCACAACAATGTAAATGTACTTAACACTATTGAACTGTACACTTTAAAATGGTTGACATGGGGCGTCTGGCTGGCTCAGTCCATAGACCATGTGACTCTTGATCTCAGGGTTCTAAGTTCGAGCCCCAGATTGGGTGCAGAGCTACTTAAAAATAAAATCTTAAAAAATAAATAAAAGAAATGAAATATAAGACAGTAAATCTTAAATGTCTTTAACCCCACCCCCCCCCAAAAAAAAAACCAATGATGGAAGATTTTCTCAATTGTGGCATGGGATTTCTAAAAGCAAGCTTCATCCCTCACATCATAAACTCTGAAGAGAAGATCCTGTCCCCGCCTTTTAGGAAATTATAGTAGAGGATTAAGATGTGCAAAAGACAGCAACATATACAAACATTCCACGAAGGTTCTCATAAGAAACACAGGAGAAAGGACAATAAATCTACCTGGGAAAGAAAAGAAAAGCTCATTACGAATGTAGAAGCTGGGCTAAGATATGCCAGTTGATGAGCTGCCAGTCTAATAAATTATAATTCACATCGTACACACCCTTCATACCCAGACTGCCTCAGGAACTAGGAAGGCTTTCCAGAAGCAAGGAAGCCTGAGAGGAGTGCGGAAGGATGGATGAGTAGCTTGTAAGGGGGGAAGGCAGGATCTAAGTGCTCTAGGCAGGAGAGAGTAGTATGTGCAAAGATACAGAGGCAAGAGAGAATGTGGCATGTTTAAGGAATAGCAAATGGTTCCTAAGGGCAGGACAGGATAGGGTGGGAGGGTTTGGAGGGGAGGGGCACATATGGGAGAAGTGACAAAATGAGCTCCAGACTCAACTGCCTCCCCAGATTTCTCCTCTCAGAAGTCCAACAGGTATCTCACAAATATCTTTTCTCAAATGCTTCCAAATGTCTCCTCCTGTCTTCCCCACCTCATAAATGACACCACCAACTGTCTATCGAGCTGATCAATTCTTCTCTTTCCTTTGCTCCTTATATCCAGTGCATCAGCAAGTTTTGTAGACTCTATCCCAAAACGCATCCCAAGTCTGCCCACATCTCTCCGTTGCTACAGCTCTAACCTCAGTCCATGCCACAGTCTTCTAACTTCTTAAGCCATTTCTCTGCTTCTACTCTTGCCCCTACAAACAATGCTCTACACAGAGCCAGAGTGGCTACAGCACATACTGTGGATGCCTATGGCACATCCTTTCTTCCTACGTAATGGGAAGCCAACACTATTCCGGAAGGCAAGGGACTATCAAAAGACTAAACCTCCCAGCTTCCTAAGTAGCTCCTCTCTCTTCTACCTGGAATATGAAGTGGTTACAGCAGCTCCAACTGAACCATGGAAGCCCAATCCTGAGGAAGGCAGAACAGGAAGACAAAAAAACCTATCTAGATCACCAATAATTGTGACAATGCCATCCTAGCAGTGAATGGCCTACCCAATGACTTATTTTACCAGAGAGAAAAAAGTTGACTTTGTTTGCCATTGCTACTTTAGGTTTTTTTGTTCAACAAAATCCAACTGGATGGCTCTCTGAGCTTGGCCCCAGTTTGTGGCAACATGGTTAAATGCACCACGAAAATTAGAATTGTCGGTAAATACAGGACCTGTTATGGGGCCTTCATCAGGAAAATCATAAAGAAAATTGAAAAAAGCCAGCACAAGTACACATGCTCCTTCTGTGACAAAACTAAGATGAAGACGAGTTGTGGGGATCTGGCACTGTGGTTCCTGTATGCAAAGAATAGCCCATGCTGCCTGGACACACAACACTTCTGCCATCACAGCAAAGTCAGCCCTGAAAGAATTCAAAGACCAGTAGAAGTTCCACCATTTGAAACATCACTAGTCTATAACAAAGGTATTAACTTATGTAACAACAACAAAAAAATCCAACAGAATAAGTAATCTTTTGAAAGCCTAATTTGGAAATCACTCCCCCCTTAAAATCCTTCAGCAGATCATCCTTACAATACACTCTACACTGGTTACAAGGACCTGCATGAACTGGCTGGAACCAGACCACCTTCATATCGACATCATTCTCCCTACTCATATCCTAGGCTTCTGTCACATTGGCCTCTCACAATTGTTTCTTCTGCCTGGAACGCTCTTTGTCTCAACCTTCATACACTAAGTCTCACCTTTCTGGCACCTTCTCGGAGACACCTCCCTGCCCACCTTTGTAAAGAAGGTCTCTTGTTATTCTCTACCACAATGCCCATCTCTTTCCCTACAAGTTTTCATTTATCTCACTTGTTTACTAAGGTGGCCACACTCAGTATTTCTCATTACCCAATTAATTTCCTTTGGAGTATTCATCATAATCTGTAATTACCACATTTATGGACTGGGTATCTACTTACATCTATCTCCCCACTACAGTGTAAGCTCCTTACTGGGAGGGATCTTGTTTGTGCTGTTTACCCGTGCATCCCCATTGAATGGGAATTCCCCACTCTGAATTCCCCTCTAGAATGAAGGATATTCATGGATAATGTTCTGTACCAGTTTGTTTTTTAAGTAATCTTTACGCCCAGTGTGGGGCTCAAACTCATGCCCCAGAGGTCGAGAGGCATGCTCTACCAACTGAGCCAGCCAGGAGCCATTAAAAATTAAGTGTAGGGACACCTGGGTGGCTCAGTAGGTTGAACGTCCGACTCTTTGATTTCGGCCCAGGTCATGATCTCATGCTTCGTGAGATCAAGCCCCACAATGGGATTCTCTCTTTCCCTCCCTAAAATAAAATTTTAAAAATATATTAAAAACAAAGTATAAAAAAAAAGTACAGTAGCTGACACACAAGAGGCGCTTCCATATTAGTTATTATAAGTGTATGAATAAGGTTGAAGAGGTAAACATACACCAAATTATCCTAGTCTTTGTAAATCATGCTTAAGAGTAATATCTTTTTTTTTTAATGTTTATTTATTTTTGAGAGAGAGAGAGAGGCAGAGAGTGAGCAGGAGAGGGGTAGAGAGAGAGGGAGACACAGAATCGGAAGCAGGCTCCAGGCTCTGAGCTGTCAGCACAGAACCTAATGCAGAGCTTGAACCCACAAGCTATGAGATCATGACCTGACCCAAAGTCAGACGCTTAAGCGACCAAGCCACCAGGCGCCCCAAGAGTGAATTTCTAGAGGGGCACCTGGGTGGCTCAGTCAATTAAGTGGCCTACTTTGGCTCAGGTCATGATCTCACAGTTCATGAGTTCAAGCCCCACATCAGAATCTCAGCTGTCAGCACATAGCCCATTTCAGATCCTCTGTCCCCCTCTCTCTCTGCCCCTCCCCGGCATGTACATGCACTCGCTCTTGCTCTCTCTCTCTCTCTCTCTCTCTCTCTCAAAAGTAAATAAACAAAAAAAAAAGAGTAAATTTCTAGAAAACTGGAGAGAAGCAAAACAAGATCACTATACCAATCTATGCCCACTAGAGCTGCAAGAAACTTTTAAAAATCTCACACCAAGTGTTGGAAAAAAAATGAAAAACAACAGATTTTTATATATTGCTACTAGGAATACTAAGTGGTCCAAAGAATTTGAAAAAGAGTTTGGCATTATTTTACCTATAACCCATATACTCCTAATTATAGACTTAAAATATAGTATCAAGTACAAAAAAAGCTAGCTAAAAAGGACTATTTTTTTAATTTCACTTTAATAAAGCTCAAAAATAAGCAAAACAAATATACAGTAAACGGTTTAGAGTAACATACGTATGTATTAACACTACGCAAACAAGGAAAAATACAAAAATAAAATTCAGATAGTAGTTACCTATGAAGGCATTGGTTCTCAACTAGGGCCATTTGGTGATGTCTGGAGACATGTCTGGTTGTCGTGACCTGCAGGGCACTACTGGTATCTAGCGTACAGAGGCTAGGGATGCTGCTAAGCATCCCACAGTACACCAGACAGCACCCCCACCACAACACTGCCATTTTGGACCAGATAATTCTTTGGTCTGGAGATCTGTCTTATACATTGTATCATGTTTAGCAACATTCTTCACATAATCCTAGCTGTGACATATAAAAATATCTCCAGACATTGCCAAAAGTCCCCTGGGGAGGCAATATCACCTTCAGTTCAAACCACTGCTCTCAAGGGAGGCAGAGGATGAGAACAAGGAAGAGCAGACAGGTGGTTTCACCAGCATGGGTAACGTTTACAGTTGTTCAGTTTGGCTTTTTCCAACTGGGATAAAGAACCAAAGAACAAGATTTCCTTTGCAAAGGTCTCTGTTCATATTTACCGACTGCAATCTTCTACTGAGTTTAACCTTTGCAATGTATTCGTAGGCAAAGAAGCCTGCAGGTTAGACACTACATTTCCACATTTAGACCTCTTTCAGAAGAGAAAATGAAGATCGACCCCAAACTGGATAGATCCAACTATAAAACACTAGAATTTCAGACATCCTTGACAATATTAAAATATTATCTACCTGAGAACAGTAGCCATCAGGAGACAAGTTTTTGCTTGTCTCTGTTTTGTCTTTTGAGTTCAGGACTCAGACATAACAGTATGAAGAAACAAAACCACAAACGCATTTTATCAATCTCACCCTGGTATCTTCGCTGATATAACCACACATGACCTTTTCATTCTTGACCCACAGCTCACCAGCCTGTGCCCTGAAAAGATATACATGCAAGAGTTATTACAAGTCTTACATAAACCAAGAAGAAACAGGGATGACTTCAGGGTGGCTCACTGTACTCTCATATTTATCCTCAAATGACCTGGCCAGTTACAGATTTCCAGAAAGCCATGAAAAGATTACACAACATAAAGAATTCTCAGAGTGTACTGAATTTGTATGACAGTTCTTAATCTGGGACTCTATAAACAACATGTCATTCTCAGGAGGGATTCAGGAAATCCATGATTTCTCTGAAATCATGCAAAGTTTTCTGGGCAGAGAATTATAGCTTTTGTCAAATCTCAAAAGGGTCCACATCACAAAAACAGTTAGGAAGAACTAATGAACAATTTTGCTAATCCCAGCCTTCAACAGTTGTGAAAGTTCTGTGAACTTTCTCATGAACATGGAGTTTCAACAGAAACAAAATCAATCCTAATATCAGAATTAGAAGATAAGCAGTCATGGGGACATCTGGGTGGCTCAGTCAGTTAAGCATCTGCCTTCGGCTCAGGTCATGATCTATCTCGAGGTTCATGAGTTCGAGCCCCACATCAGGCTCTGTGCTGTGCATGCAGAGCCTGCTTCAGATCCTCTGTCCCCCTCTCTGTGCCCCTCCCAGGAGCTGCTTGTGCGTGTGCGCACACTTGCTCTCTTTCACTCGCTCTCTCTCAAAAGTAAATAAATAAAAACTTAAAATACTTTAATAAAGAAGACAAGCAGTCAGGAGGCATATAGGGACAGGGTTCACATTCAATGGAGGCCATTCTGCTGAAAAGTTTTCATGGCAATTTGGTATTGCATTTGGGGGGCTTAATGTCTTTTCCTCTGCAACTTTTTAAGGGCACAAAATGGACAGACAGTTCAAAGAACATGGCCTTCTGAGGAGATCAGACTTGAGTGGAACGAGTCCCATCAGGAATCTAAGTTCTAAGAGTCACTGAACTAGCTGAATAGCCATGGGGAAATAACTCTGTGAGACCCAGTGTCCTTATCTTAAAAAAGGAGATAATGACATCTACTTTGTAGAGCTGTTCTGAGAATTAAACCAGATAATGTGGGGAAACTATTCTGGACAGTGCTGGGATAGGAGGTGCTCAAGTAAGTACTAGCAGGTATTTGCATTAGCAAGAACTATACCACTGGTAAATATTAACACAAAATGCTCTTCTGGAAAGGAAGTGGTAGCTGTTATCTGAGTACCTCATAATCATCCCTCAACCAACCACTCAAGCCCTTCTCTTCTACCAACCCCAAAGCAATCTCCTGTCTGGCCCTAAGCAATCAGTCCTCATAAAAAAAGAAGAAAAGATAAAATCAAAGCAAGGAAAATGCTGTGTACCATGAGTCACAGCTCAGCCTACCTGAGAAACATTGGACAAATCAGTCAGCCTTACTGGCTTTCCCTCCCACCTGTAAAATGAAGAAAGCTGGACCAAGCCCATGGTTTTTAAAATATGCTTCCCAGGGGTGCCTGGGTGGCTCAGTTGGTTAAGTGTCCAACTTAGGCTCAGATCATGACCTAACAGTTTGTGGGTTTGAGCCCCACATAGGGCTCCTCAAAGCCTGCTTGGGATTCTCTTTCCCTCTCTCTCTCTGCCACTCCCTGACTCGTGTTTTCTCTCAAAATAAATAAATAAACTTTTTAAAAAAAACATTAAAATATGCTTCCCAGCTCTGCTTTCAGCAACAGGGGTGCTTTTTGGCATTCCTCTGCTCAGTGTGTCTGTGAGTGGACAAGTAGCAAGCCTCATCTGAGAAGGCACTTCTGTTTCTTTAACAGAAGGAAGGATGCAATGTTCCCAAGATCTCTGAGTTCTGTTAGCAGGAAGTACTCTGCATACAGGCTACTGAATGCTAGATTAACCAGATCTCTAAATGGAGCTCATTGTTACTGCTCTAACTCACCAACTTCTGCTAGTATGTATAGACAAAGTAGTGTTACAAAATTTGGGCTTAGATTCCTGCACCTCCACTCCCTGTGGAGGTCAAGCCACAATCTTTCTGAGCCAGTTTTTGAAAAATCAGTATATGTGGTTAATAACCCTCCCCCATCCATCTTCTACAGCTCTTGGGAAGATCCAATGAGATACTATAAATGAGAGGACTTGGTGAACTATGAAACAGTTATCATTCCAATGGAAATGGTTCTTTATAACACACAGAGAAAATGCAATCGTGACCTTTGCTCCTAAACCTAAAATCTGCTCTTACCCAAACAGGAATTGAGGTTGGCCCTGAGGTAGCTTCTCGTCTTTTCCGCAGATTCAAGGGAAGAAACAGAGCCACTGACAGATGCAAATGTAAAATCCATATCCCCAGGGCAAAACCCAAGAGTGCACATGGCTTCCTACAAGAGAGGCAGGATGGCACATGGCCAACTCCCAGGAGGGTAAAGGTGACCTGGGGGGCACTAGTCCTTAATTATGTAGCAGCTTGGGCAGGCACTTCCCCTCCCTTTTCTATCAAGTGAGCTGCTGGGAGTCAGTGATCTCCACTATCTTTTACAGCTAAATTTCATCATTCTGTGAATATGAAGTTAAAATAAATGCAGAGTGTGGTCACTGTAGTGTCATCCACACAGCACAACTTTGAACAACCTAAATGTCCAGCAATGGCAGACCAGTTAAGTAAACAGAGTATCATGGAACCATTAAAACAATATTTACAAGGAGTTTTAACTTCCAGAAATGTTTATATGCTTTTAAGTGGGAAAAAAAGGATACAAAATAGTACACACAGTATCACCATCTAAGTAAAAATACAAGCATGTGTATGTATATATGAAAATAAAACACAAAGGGGAGCCTGGCTGGCTCAGTCCGTAGAGCATGTGACTCTTGATCTTGGAGTTTTGAGTTCAAGCCCCACGATAGGCACAGAGATCACTTAAAAATTTTTTGGGAGGGGTACCTGGGCAGTTTAGTCGGTTAGGTGTCCAACTTCAGCTCAGATCATTATCTCACAGCTGGTAAGTACAAGTCCCGTGTTGGGCTCTGTGCTGACAGCTCAGAGCCTGCAGCCTGCTTCAGATTCTGTGTCTCCCTCCCTCTTTGCCCTCCCCAGCTCATGCTCTGCCTCTCAAAAATAAACATTAAAAAAAATTTTTTTTAATTTAAAAAAAAATTTGTTTTGTGAGAGTGAATGAGCAAGCAGGGGAGGGACAGAGAGAGGGAGAGAGAGAATCCCAAGCAGGCTTTATGCCAAGAGTCAGATGCCCAACCAACCGAGTGACCAGATGCCCCTAAAAAATATTTTTTAAAAGAAAATACTAAAAGATCACACCAAAATTTAAACACGGTTATCTGTACATAGTAGGCTTATATACCACTGTAAATTTTCTTCTTTATACTCTCTGTATTACCCAAATTTTCTAGAATAAATGTTTTCATTTTAATTATGAAAACTGTTTTGGGCTCTTTTTTTTTTAATTGTATATAAAATCATATACACCATATGTTCTCAAGCCAAAAAGGGTACTACATTTTGACAGAACTGTGTCAAAATGTTAACAGTGGTCGATTCTGAGTGGTAAATTGTTTCTTTTTCCTGCTTCTTTAATCTGTTTTTCAAATGGTCTACAATGAGCAAGTATTATATATAAAAATATTTAGCATATGCTTGGTATCTAGCATTTGATGAACAAGTGGTACTTAATAATATTAATTCTATAACTAGGAAAGACATTCCAACTAAATGGCCACCAGAGAATCAAATTCAAATCAGAGAAGATCCCAGATGATTCTCTGCAGTACGGCAGATCCAACAGGAAACCATACACACACACACACACACACACACAATTTTTTTTTTTTTTTAAGTAAAAAAAGAAACCTTATCTAGTCAACAGTCCCAAAAACTCTATCTGGAAAAATGAGATTTGTTCACAATGAGATCAAGTAGACTTCTAAGTCTATCAAATAGGTTTCTAAGTTCCACATTTAAAAAAAGCAAAATGCTGATTTTTAGGAGATCATACAATACTTTTCTTTTAAAACTTTACTTTTTAAAAACAAATACTGATTGCAGTACTGATTAAAGAATACATGGAGAATTTAGTCAGAGAAAATCAAAATGTTTACCTTCGAAGGAAAAATGACATTTCAAAGGCAGGGTCTCAAGGTAATGGAACTATCTCATATGTCCTTATGTATTAACTCAATTACCAGGTGAAAAGACTAAGTTACAGAAAAATTATTTAATAATTATGACTTTATATAAATAATGACTATCTTTTCTTATATAAGGTCCCAGAGCATCTTCCTTTTTTTTTTTTTTTTAATTTGCATGCCTCCATGTAGAAAAAAAAGTAACTTTTGATTCAGCATAGGAAGACTATAAATAAGTCTTCTGGAGAAATGGTAGATTTTGTGGCTTACATTTAACCATGAATGAGCAAAATATTAGGACAGATCTTTAAAAGTCTAAACCTGACGTTATGTCACAAGTTTTCATTTCTATATCTGGTACCATATGGATAAGGGCACTTGTGCAGAAAAACAAGAAATGTAAGAATGAATGGCATCTGAGTGGGTTTCTAAACCAGGGCTCAGCTAACTATAGCCTGCAGGCCAAATTCAGCCCATCTCCTATTTCTGTATGGCCCACAGCTAAGAATGGATTTTATATTTTTAAATGTTGAACAAAACAAAAAACTAAGAATTTGGGACAGAGACCTGAGACCCATGTGGCCTGAAGTGCAAAATCTTTACTCTCTGGTCCTTCACAGAAAAAGATTCTAAACCAAACACTTCATTTTGCAGAGTAGACTCAAGAGTCTCCCTGACCTGCCCACATCACCCTGCTAATCACCAGCAGTGCAGGAGTAGATTACAGCTTTCCTGACTCCTGGCCCACCACTTTGGAGACACTAGCTTGTACTGGAAAGCGTGAATCTAGGTTGCATTTCTTGTTTTGCTTGAGGCTTAGTCACTTCGTGGGCTGTGCTTTAAAATCTATGATTTTTCAAGTAATCTTGACACTTCAACATTTAAAAAAAATTTTTTTTTTATTTTTCACTTATTTTTGAGAGAGCATAGCACAAGTGGGGAAGGGGCAAAGAGAGAGGGAGACACAGAACGCGAAGCAGGCTCCAGGCTCTGAGCTGTTACTATAGAGCCCAACATGGAGCTCGAACTCACAAATCACGAGAACATGACCTGAGCTGAAGTAGGACACTTAACCGACTGAGCCACCCAGGAGCCCCTTGATCCTCCAACTTTTAAAACATCCCCATTTGGGGGGAAAAAATAATTCTTTATCTTTTCTTTCCTTTAGGATCAGTAGTTCAGATTAATCAAACAGGTCTAGTTGAGGAAGAAAAGTTCTTTACAAAAAGGATTCTAGCTAACAAAGGTAGGAGAAATGACTGAAGTAGAAAAATCACCCGGGCACCTGGGTGGCTCAGTCAGTTAAGCATCTGACTTCGGCTCCAGTCATGATCTCTTTTGGTTCATGAGTTCAAGCCCTGCATCGGGCTCTCTGCTGTTAGTGCAGAGCCTGCTCGCGATCCTCTGTACTCCCCTCTGTCTGCCCCTCTCCTGCTTATGCACATGTGCTCTCTGCCTCTCTCTGTCTCAAAAATAAATAAACATTAATGAAAAGAAAAAAGAAAAGAAAAGAAAATCACCATCTTGCAACAACCATAAATGAGTGAAACCATTAGGAGAAAAGTTGATGGGGAACTTCATAATGGAGGACCAGACTACATCACCAGAACCCACTGGTCAATTCTAGTGCCATTAAAAGTGAGTCAACCAGATGTAAATATGCTTGTGTTATACATAATGAATTTCAGGAAAGAGACCATTTTTTCTAAGAAGAAGGATTTGTTTTTCATTATACACTTTTTGCACTGTTTGAAGGCCTTACTCTGTGGACAATGTGCTCTTTGAATTAAAAGACCCTTTTTTGCTCTTCTCCACAAACTGAAATTTAGGGATAATTATAATAAATCAAGAGTCATGCAATATGGTTAAAAAGGCAGCAAACCAGGAACTACTGTGCTAGTCATTTTGTATCTCCAAATATGTTTTTTAATCTGTAAAATGAGAAAGCTTGATTAAATACATTCATCTAAGGCTTTTTCTAGTTCTAAAATTATGAGTCTATACCTCCTTTATTACAGAATACCACGTGGCTTCAACAACTTCCACTCATCTTAAAACCATTATAGCGCATTTTGGGATTTTTTCAGTTTGCTTCAGCAACAACAATCTAACATTTTAAGCTATTGTGTATTTTATCATACAGACATCCACATGCCTCCAATGCTGTATGCAGCCCAGTTACTACACTAGATCCTACTTCCATTTACTAGCTGATAAGTCAAGAGTGATGTAATATCTACCTGATGCCAGCAAATTCCACCTTCTGAGTGATATAGGCACATGTGCTGACCTAAGGGAAGACAGAAAGAGAAAGACTATGAGATTCAACAACACATCAAGGCCATAAAAGGTCACAAAGAAAGTCTCCTGCCTTTCTAATTTCTTCTAACAACCCAAGGTTCAATTAATGTGGGAGTAATAGATTTACCCCATAGGGAAACCTGCTGGGGCAGGTATAACAGTAGGTTCTTACGAGTGTGGCAAGTATAGGCAACAGTAAGAATAAACGCCTAACCTCACTAATACACTTATCTTCACACATGTTTGCATATATATCTACATTTACATATTCATTTAATTACAGAACATTGATTTCTTATTTCAGCTCTCAATTTATAGAATGGAACTCTCTCCCATCCAATAAAAAAATGAGCATTTTTTTCTGAAATAATACACTGTATGAAAGAAAATTCTACCTACAATGCGTTGCTTCATAATACTCAAAATGCCTAATAAGAAGAATGTTCAGTACCAGCTCGCAATGAACTGATCATTTTAGGTGGAAAGTGTTAATTCAAGATAAAGAAACCAAGAAAACAGGAGCAGGATGTGGCAAAAAGCAGTCTAACCTGGAAGCAACAAAATCTGGGTTCTAGCTTGGTGTCAACCACTGACTGGTTTTTTTGGCTTGGGTAATCACTTACCTTTTCAATCTGTTTTCACATCTATAAGCTAATAAATTTATATGGGTAATAAATACCTGTCCACAGGGAGGTGATGTGAACATCTGAAAGCTAAAGTTCCATTCAAATGTAAAACGATATTATAATTTACCATCCAAACAAAAAAATGTGAAGTAAAAATCTATAAACAAGCAAATCAAAGCTCAAAAAAACTACAAAAAGAGAATGGAAGAAGATACACAAAGAATTTACAATAATTATCTGTGATGCTGGAATTGGAAAGGATTTTATACTCTTCTCTCCACTAAATCTATCTCTGTGAGGAACATGGATTATTAATACAATGGGAAAAGTAAGAGACTTTTTTTTTTAAATCATATCTTACCAAACTTTTCTTTAATCGCCACATATCCCCTCGGCCAATATATTGATCCTTAAAGGTTAATTCCACTAGGTCAAGGGTCACATCCTAAAAGGGATAATCAAATATATCTCTCTGCATTACTCTGCCACACTTCATAGTCTTAAGATAATGCACACTAAGCATGAAGAACCCTTTTAGCAAGAAAAAACTACTGGAAGACCATCCAATAACAGAAACCTGACAAACAGAATTTCATCCTGCCAGGAAAGGCTTTTGAGCACAGATGATAAGTCTACAACAGATGCTACAGCAGCTGTATCATGATTAAGTGCAAAGAGTACCAAAGTAATAATTCTGTGTTTAGTCTCGACTCTGGCACATAAACAGGCCACTGAGCTCTGTGCTTTATTTCTTTAGAGAATGTCAATAGTATCTTATACACAATGATTTTTACCTATTATAACATCATTTCTCATTTCAGAAAAAAAAAAGAGAACACATACAAAAATTATATTTCAATAGAAAATTTTACTATTAGCTTCACAAGCAGACATATATATAGAATCTTTTTAGGACAAACTTTTAAAAAAAAAAGGTGAGGGCTTTTTTTTTTTAATTTTTTTAACCTTTGTTGATTTTTGAGACCGAGAGAGAGAGAGCGCATGAACAGGGGAGGTTCAGAGAGAGGGAGACACAGAATCTGAAACAGGCTCCAGGCTCTGAGCTGTCAGCACAGAGCCCAACGTGGGGCTCGAACTCACAGACTGTGAGATCATGACCCGAGCCGGAGTCGGACGCTCAACCGACTGAGCCACCCAGGCGCCCCGGGTGAGGGCTTTAAATGAAACCTACATAATACCTATAATCTAAATGACCTATATACAACCACATGTTTAATAGTCCAACACTACACTTAAGCAACTCATTATTACCTTAGAGACCTAACCTTTAGGAATGGTATTAATCATTCCCAAAAGATATTCAAGTCCAGAACCAAAACGTACCTTAGGGTCTACAACATTCACATAAACATCTTGATAAGGTCTTAGATGGAACACTTGAGTCACGGTCTGGTCCACGCTAATAGTTTCTGAAACAGAAGAAATCTGGATCAGATAACATATTCAAAAGAAGCAAGTTTCTAATCTATAAATACTCATTTGACATGCAACACAAATGATCCTTGGACATGGGCAAGAAATATTCTCTGCCTTCCAGCATCTTAAAGTTTTGAATTCTCTGCTTTTTAGGTGAAGCAAGCAGGTGAAATAAGACCTGAGCCTCTAGCAATTAAAATACGAGAAAGACAGAGGGGTGCTTGGGCCAGTTAAGTGTCTGACTTCAGCTCAAGTCATGATCTCATGGTTTGTGGGATCAAGCCCCACACTGGGTTCTGTGCAAAAAAAATAAAATAAAAAATAAAATAAAATAAAATAAAATAAAATAAAATAAAATAGACAGAAATGGAGACAGAGGAAAATAACAAATTTAAAAAAGCAACTTCAGAAAGTTCAAAGAACTGCTGAGGTGCCTGGGTGGCTCAGTTGGTTAAGTGTCCAACTTGTCTCAAGTCATGATCTCGCAGTTTGTGAGTTCAAGCGCCACATCAGGCTCTGTGCTGACAACTCGGAGCCTGGAGCCTGCTTCAGATTCTGTGTCTCCTTCTCTCTCTGCCCCTCCCCTGCTCACACTCTGTCTCTCTCTCTCTCTCTCAAAAATAAATAAAACATTTAAAAAAAAAGTTCAAAGAACTATGAAAGTTCAGAAGAGGAAGGAGATCATTTCTCACTTGGAATGAAAGTAGAGAAGGTAGATAAGAGAGAAACAAACTTCTCAATGAGCCCATACATCTGGTAAATAAAAAACATAACAGGTGGCAGGAAATGGGATGGTGAGGGTAAGGAAGAAACTATTAGGATTTGGATTTTATAAAATATTTCCCCATCATATTGTATTGTAAAAGTAGTGGACATCACAATCCTTTAGAATACGTTATAATTTTTTTTCTTTTAAGTACTATTTAAGGAATTACTTTATTTGCTATCAATTAACATTTTGGTTCTTTGATCCCCCATGGTAAGGGGATCAGATCCAGAATGAGAAAGTAGAATGGCGGCTCTGCCTCCTCCACTTACTGACTTCAGACAAGCTAATTCACCTCGCTGAGATTAAGTTTCCTCACTCAGTCAAGAGTTGTGTGGGAAGACAAAAAGAAAGAGACATTACAAAAAGCTCTCAGCACAGTGCCTTGCATTTCTGATAGGTAATGATCAATGTTTCTTTATACTGTCTCACCCAGAGTAGGCACTTCACACACACCTTGTGAAAAAATATTTAGGAAAGCATGCTTTGCCAACAATTGTTTTGTTTTGTTTTGTTTTGTTTTGTTTTGTTTTGTTTTGAGTTAAGCATAAAGCTTCACCTATGCAGGTTAACTTTCCCCCTGACAAGAAAGATGGCTTCTTGGGGTACCTGGCTGGCTCAGTCAGTAGAACATGCAACTCTTGATCTTGGGATTGTGAGTTTGAACCCCACACTGAGTACTGAGATCACTTAAATAAATAAACCCTTAAAAAAAAAAAGATGATTCCTTCAGTGCCCTCAAGATGCTGACAAATGAGATTCCTTGGCAGTTTCAATATCTGACAATTTTTTTAAGGGAACACAATTTGATAAGGAAAGAAGTACGCTGCCCACATTCCCTGAGATTATGATGAGACATTTCTTTCAGTTTCTGAAACAGTTTCTCTAAGTACAAAAATCTTAAGAGAAGAGAGATGGAATTCTTACCTTTCTGTAAATCTTCCTTAAGTGATTTGACCTGCAAAAGCAGAGGGCTGGAGAAAAAAGCAACAAAGAGATGGGATGCTGTAAGCGGTAATTAACCAGCTTTCTTCACCCCCCAACAAAAGGCAAACAGATCCCTCTGGACATAATGTAACCTGCAGCACAACAAGGGGAGAAAGTTCTCTTAGAAACAAAGAAACTATGCACTTGCACTCAAGGAAACAGATAAATGCTACACAATTTTCAGAGCTCTCATTTCAGCTTTAAAAACAAAAGAATAGACTACTTTTTTTTTTTAATTTTTTTTCAACGTTTATTTATTTTATTTTTGGGACAGAGAGAGACAGAGCATGAACGGGGGAGGGGCAGAGAGAGAGGGAGACACAGAATCGGAAACAGGCTCCAGGCTCTGAGCCATCAGCCCAGAGCCCGACGCGGGGCTCGAACTCCCGGACCGCGAGATCGTGACCTGGCTGAAGTCGGCCGCCTAAGCGACTGCGCCACCCAGGCGCCCCAGAATAGACTACTTTTTAAAAGATCATTGGTTTATCAAATCCTTTTATGTAAAAGCTAAGAGCTGTCTTGCCCATCAAGCCCCTTAAACAAAATATTCAGAAACATCAGCCTGTCCAATTAGTTCCCTTGATCCTAATGAGAGGTTTACCTGTATTCATCATTGGGGTGAGCAATCTCCACAATGTCTCCAAGCTTGATGTGAGGAAACACTTTGGGGTTCATGACTAGCTCATCATCTGAAAGATAATTGGGCAATTTCAAATAGAAAAGAGACTCATGTGGGCAACCAGTTATGGTATACGTTCTCAGGTTGGGTCATCATAACCTCATACAGGGACACAAAGCTAGTGAGTAGATGAGTGGGTCAACTTTCAGGGACCTTTGTCCTCAGAGATCATGTTCTTTCTACTACCGCCCCAACAATCCCAGGGAAAAAGCAGTCCTTGCTCTCTGGAAATTAAACCTCTGGGACACCTTACTCCCTTGAATTATCACATACCTGGCATACACCGGGAACACACTGTCTGGGTCCCACAGATACAGCACAATCCTTTACATTTATATAGTGTTCAAAGAATTTCCAAAAATACTGTCTTAATGTGATCCTCATAATAAATCTTCGGATGTAACAGAAGTGAAGAAATGATGTAGGTGATACAGGCCTAAGGGTAAACAGCTGATAACAGCACAACTAAGACTGACTACTAGTCCAGGGTTCCTTCTGCCTAAAGCCTACCACCTCTCATGTCATTAAAAAGAAAAAGAAAAAGAAAAAGAAAAAGAAAAAGAAAAAGAAAAAGAAAAAAAGAAAAACACAAGCCAAATAAAATGCCTTAGATTTTAGGAGGCAGCACTTGATCAGGGAGAAACTTTGGATACCAGTTCACATTAGGGTCCAATGAGACTCTTAAAATAGAAGGAAGACATAATTTCATATGTTTATCTCCCCCACCCTCACTGGGAGTGGGGAGAACTCTTTCTTATATAACAAACTCAGAACCATAAAGACAGAGTGATTTTTTTTTTCTGGTTTAATTTTGAGAGAAAGATGTGGTCTTTAATTATGCTAAAATCCATGACAAATAAGTATATCTAAATTTCAAATATAATCAAAACCAACAAAAATTCAACCTAGGATGGCAAAGCACTGGGTTAATACCAAATTTTATTTGGTACATTGCTTCCATTGAAAGTTTTATGCCAAATCCTCTGTGATGCCTTCCCCTAACTTCCATAGTCTGAATTAAACTCCCTGAGCACTGAGCACAAATTCCACTGTTTCTTTTTTTTTTTTTTTTTTTTTTTTTTTTTTTTTTTTGCATATCTGTTGCATCAAGCTGAAAGCTCCTTAAGGACAAGGGACCTTATCATATTCACAACCTTTATGTTTAGCATAGATATGCAGCTAAGTTTGTTGGATGTGTTTCTAATCATAGTTCTGAAGGAGACTGGGTATAGCACCTAGCTATAGTAAACTATACATTGTATAGTAGACTTGCATACATTGTATATACACTGTATATACTATAGCCTTGCATCCTTCCCTCTGACAAGTTATTTTTGTTGTCTATTCAATTCTATTCCACAAATGTTTAGGCAGCATCTATCATTAATAGACATTAATACAAAGTCTAATATTAACAAAGGTCTGCATTTTAGCAGAAATTGTAGTTTTTTTAAATATCTATTTTTGAGACAAAGAGAGTACAAGCTGGGGAAGCACAGAGACAGAGGGACAGACAAAATCCCAAGCAGGCTCCGTGCTGTCAGGACAGACCCAACAGAGGCTCGCTCTCACAGATCATGAGATCATGACCTGAGCTGAAATCAAGAGTCAGACACTAAACCGACTGAGCCACTCAGGTGCCCCAAAAATTGTATTTTAAATATAGCAACTGCCTGGTATATATTGTCCTGGTAATTATAATGGTTCCATTTACGGAGTGGCCCTGAGCATGGTACTCTGCTAAATACATACATCATCTTACTCAATCTCCACAAACTTTATGATATAGAAACTAGTGTTTTCCCTTTTGGGTAGTCCTTGCCCTTGGGAGACTTACACATACGTAAGAGCAAATACACAGTAAAACATAATTTTTAAATGACTCATTGTATTGTTAATTCCAATTTCTGAAGCAAATAAGGTTGTTAGGACAGAAAGGAAAATTATTTCTTTACAAAAAGAAAAAGATCGTATTACTAATTGCCATCCTATTCTGCATATTTATAGACTCAAGGTGTTAAGAGAAACAGAGAAACTGTTCTAATGTGCTTGAGGCTGTAAGTAAGATAAACTAGGGGCTTGCCTGAGGTCACAGGAAAAGTTAGAGGCAGAGCTGAAAAATCTCGTTTAGCACAGAACAATATGCTGTGTCCTGCTTCTTCTTACTATGCCTGGAAACCAGGCAAAGGTTCACGCTTTGATCATACCTGTCTAATGTATATTTACTACTGCTCTCAATGAATGTAAGTTTTTCTTATCTGCCAAACCAGTGCAGACTGGGATTTTATAGAACGTATATAGTAAATACATAATATAAAATACAAATAAGTGGAAGGTAGTAAACTGGCAACATTCACATTGTTCCTTAAAAATCAGAACACAAGTGCTTTTAGAAGGGGCCTGTGCTCTCACATGCTACTGCCCTCCCTGCTACTGTATTACACTTGCTGCTTCGCTCAGTTAATTCACCTCCAGCCTCTACTGTCATGAGTCAGTGTGTCATTTTTGAAGCACTGGACACACTAGAACCTCAGCCAACTTACGCAACCCCCCAAAACGGATCAATACTGACCACTGCCCCCAAAGCCCTTCTTGTGGATGACGAGTTTGTAGACCTTTGTTGTTCTCATCTTGTACTGTTGTTTCCTTCAGCTGTTCCAAGCTTGGGGGAGAGAAGTCATCTTGCCTCCCTGCCACTGAAATACAAAAAGGCTGGGATGTCAGATTTTTCCTTGCAACTGCTCTTTGGTTTTAGGCCAGTGAATATACCAGTACTGTTCAGATGAGTGGCAGCACCAACTCTTGGATGAAATCACTCCTCCAATTACGAGGAGGGTTGGAGGACCAAAAACAAAAAAAAAAAAACAAAAAACAAAACACAGAAAACACCACAAAATCTGGGAACTAAGGGGAATTCAGGCCAGGGTGGATTCTAACTTCCAAGAATATATTCTATCACACCCTGAAGGGAAACCTTGTAGTGAATTGGGCACTCACTACCTTGTCTCTATCTAAAACAATAACACCCAAATATTAAAGAGATCTTGAAAGAGGTTTAGCGCATTCATTTTGTAGATGAGGAAAGTGAGGGCCAGAGCAAGGGACTTGCCCAAGGTCACTCAGACACTGAGACACTCCCACCGTCCACGTTCCGCGGTCAATCTCCTGGGCAAGGAGAGTATAAACAGGAGGAAGGCAGGAGTTCGTTCTCCGAACGTCCATCTGTACACACTCTCGGCGGTTCCTCCTCCCCAACCCTCATTTCACAGCAGCGGTCACTGAAGCTCAGAGAGGGATGAGACTTGTCTAAGATCACACAGCGGGCTGGGGAGTAGGACCTGGACTCGAACCTGGGTCACGGCCCTCTCCCTCAGGCTCCACAAACCCCGGCCCGGCGAGTAGCCCCACTCACCCGCAGCTCCGGAGCCCCTTCCCCCTTCAGGCCGGGACTCCGAGGCCCCAACCCTCCCGAGGTCCCCTGCGTCTCCTCGGGACGCCCCGCCTACGGCCCCACAGCCCTTGCGGCTTCCGTGCCGGACCTCAAGGAGCCTGCCTGCCCGCCCCAGCCACAGAGCGCTCACCTGAGAACCCGCGCAGCTCCGGTGGCTCCGCCCCGGGGCCCCGCCCCCTTCCCGCCCACCTGCCCCGGGCCGCTCTGGCCGGGCCTCCTCCTCATCTCGGTGTCCGCGCCACTTCCCCATCCGGGGCTCTCGCCAGGGGCGGGGCGTCGTGTGCGGCCTCTAACTCCGGCGGCCTCCTGCGTTTCCCGCCCGGTGACCCGACCGCAGCCAGCCTTAGAAAGAAAATCCTTTTATTCCCAGACATTATCACATCGATCCGTACCGGGAGCTTCGTTTCCGATTCAGTCCCTCAACAGGGCAAACTCAGGCGAGTCTCCCCGGATCCATTAACGGTGTTAATGGACCTTCGCCTGGCCTCACCGGGCTAGTGAGAAGCACAAAATAGTTTCCTGGAGAACTTTTGTAAAATGCAAAAGCTGAGCACTCGCAATTTAATGCGATGGACAGTGCTGGGAAGTATTCATTTGGATGCCCTTTTCAAGTCCCTCCAAACCCCAAACGATATTCTGTACCTCTCTGGTTGTTAATAGCTACAATAGCTTTCACAGACGCCCTTATGAAATGGTCACGTCCCTATTAGGTGGCTGATAATCTCACAGACGGGTGAACAGGGGACACCAAACTCCTCGGAAAGAAGCTCTTGACCCCATCAAGTCCAGCTTGGCTCTGAAGGCTGAGCGTTTAACCAGCATCCTTGTTACACGCCAGAGCTCAGGCTAAGCCCCTGTCAGGACATCTTTCTGTTAAGAAAATCAGAACTGCCTCTGCTGTGCCTGAAACTCTCCCAAGAGCTCCTGACAAGTTGCCATCTCCATCTAATTGACTTACGGTTTTTGGAAATTTTCTGAATGTTTAAAGAAAAAAGCGTCACATACCACAAAGGAGTGGGGAGAAGAGGCTCTGGCAAGACAAGAGTTTCCTTAAACATCCATATTTACTTTAGGGTTCAGAAGTTGAAGGACTATAAAATAATTGTAATTTTTTATATTAAAACATGAAATCAAGTGTACTGCAACAGTTGCAAAAAGACTTTCAGGGATAAAATGTTAAATATAAATAACACTTTAATGTTGCTAATTCAGGGGACCTGCTCAGATCTCCCCAGACTTTTATCTGCAGCAGTGGCTGGTAGGAAATTCTTCCATCCCAGAGGGACTAATGGGATTCTCTCTCCCTGGCCTTCAAGGAAATTTGATTTCTGTCTTCTGAGAGATGTCCATGACTGGTGTTTTATCTTAGAAATGCAAATATTTCACTTTTTAACTTGGCAAAAATTAGTAAAAATCTTTGACAGGTTTTGAGCTTTTTAAAAATTGTCAAAGTCTGGTCAAGGTTAGGGGAGACTGGAGCAGTTAGCTCCTGTACTGGGGATCTAGTCCAGGGGATCCTTGGTTCTAAGATCACTATGTTACAACCAGCTGCACAATAGCCTGTTTTTGGCAGTGTGACTGCACCAGATCCTTCTCTTTTCTCAATTTTCTCCCTTGTCAGATGGGAATAAAAAGTACATGTATATCCTTGTTCACAAGGTGTTTGAGGGTCAAATGAAATAAGGAACATGTTACATTAGGTCATTGAAATTAAAAGAATTTAAAATGCTATGTATAAATGTAGAACATTATATATATGTGTATTTTAATGTTTTTGTTTATTTTTGAAGGAGAGAGAGACAGAGTGTGAGTTGGGGAGGGACAGAGAGAGAGGGAGACACAATCCGAAGCAGGCTCCAGGCTCTGAGCTGTCAGCACAGAGCCGGATGCAGGGTTCGAACTCACAAACTGTGAGATCATGACCTGAGTTAAAGTCAGACATGCAACTGACTGAGACACCCAGGTGCCCCTAGAGTATTATATTTTTTAATGTATTTTTTGTTTGTTTTTCTTGGGGAGGAGAGAGACCAAGCACTAATGGGGGTGGGGGGGTGGGGGGAGGAGGGGACACATGGAATCCCAAGCAAGCTCCAGACTCTGAACTGTCAGCACAGAGCCCAACGCAGGGCTCAGAGAGATCACCACCTGAGTTAAAGTCAGATGCCTAACTAACTAAGCCATCCAGGCACCCCAAATGTACGGTATTATTGACTAACCAAAAGCATGGAATTCATTACGAAATTCTCCTCGACTATTAGGGGGTTGCATAATATGTATGATGCTTCTTTTGAACCTCTCCGTGCCTAATACAGAGCTAGGAGCAGGGTTAGGAGTAGGATAAGGTGGGTAAGGCTAGTGAGACACTTCCCTTAGGGCACAAAATGTTAAGGAAGTGTCAAAAAAAAAAAAACCCTCAAGGGAACAAAATAAATAATATTTATTACAATTTTTAAAATAAATAATACAAAAATCCACTATTAACAAAATATCACATTTTAAAATAAAGACAAGATCAAAAATGGTGCTGTGCAGTCATGTTAGAGGCTGAGGCAAAAAGACAAACTAGTAATACTGGGTTTCTCAGATCCGCTTCTATAGGCCGGTAGTTGCCTGAGAAAGTACTGGAGGATGTAGATACTGTAAATTTAGAAATGTTTTAGAGACAATGTCTAATTAACTCATCTGTAGTAGCCTGTGTTAATTGTACATGTGTATGGGATGATATCTGGATTCACAGGCTATAAAACAATAGGGTTGGCATTTGGGTTTACATATCTCCAGCCCTAACCAAAGGTGGGAAAACCACTATTCTGGGAAAAATGTTAACTAGCTCAAAAGATACCCTGATCAAAGAAGAGAGAATTAAAATCTCTCTCAAACATCCAAACCTCTAGCTCTCTAGTCTGCCCAGTTAATAAAGCCCAAAAAGCAACATATTTCTGTTTAACACAAGGCTGTGTGAAATGGAACAAGTTGACTCCATTCTCTGAAACTTCCTTTTTTTTTTTTTTTTAAGTTTATTTATTTTTGAGAGAGGGCATATGCGTGTGCGTGTACGTTAGCAGTGGAGGTGAGAGAAAGGAAGAGAATCCCAGACAGGCTTCTTGCTCTCAGGGCAGAGAGAGGCCCGAAGGGGGTGCAAAACTTGACCTCACAAACCAGGAGATCCTGACCTGAGCTGAAATCAAGAGACGTTTAACTGACTGAGCCACCCAGGCACCCCAATTCTCTAAACCTCCTTAATTCCCTTTTTAATAAATCTTTTCCTTCCTTCAAATGTCTGTTGGATGTCTGCTTGTGCCAGACACGGTGCTAGGTGCTGACCACAGAATGATGAACAAGCCTGGGAAGGGACAGATGATGAATTAATCAATAAATGAATGCAACATGACCTAAAATACTTATTCAAGTTATAAAAGGATCTCCTGGGCTTCCAGAGATAGGCTCCTAGAATTGCAGCCATTCAGGCCAGGAAAATACTGGATTGGGGAGGGCCAGTAGCAGTGGAGACAATGGGCTCTGGGGCTCCGTAGGAGCCTGGCAAAAGGTGCGTTTCCCCTTTAAGAATCGCGGCCGTAGGGGCGGGGCAGAGGGCTGCTGTGGCCAGGCCCAGGCTGGAGGCCTGACGCGGGAAGAGCCGCCCCTAGGATTGCGCGCGCGCCGCGCGTGGGCGGGACTTGAGTGAGCCCGCATGGCTGGCTCGGGCCCCGGATGAGGAAGTGCGGGGTGGGGGGGCGAGGAGGAAGAAGACCATAGAGACGAAGAGGCGGCGGTGGCTGGAGCGGCCCCGGGCTCTCTCTGCTCGGTAGGCTCAGGTAGCTTTGGCGGCGACCGGGCTGCAGCTGCAAAGGCCGGGCTGGCGGGGCGAGCGCGGGCCGCGGAGCAGGCCTCAGGGTAAGAGGCCGGGGGCGGGAAGGCTTCGGGCGTAGCCGCCCCGCCCCACACCACCCTGAGGGGACCCTCCGCCGGGTGTTGCAGGCTGAGGGGGAGCCCGGGCCCCCCTCCCTCTTGGGGCGCCGGAGGGAACGGAGGCTGCTCTGCGGGCGGCGGAACGACCCGGGGAGAGGGAGGAGACCAGGCCCCGCGTCGCGAGGGGGAAACGGCTTCTCCGAGTCATGGCTCCGACGGGGGAAAGATACTCCTCTTCAACCTCGATACGGCGGGGGACCCCCAACTTCTCGAGGAGGGTGACGCCCCTTGTCGTGGGCGTACGCTCTTCCCCAGCTCCTGTGCGTTTGTCAGCGGTGCGAGACCCGCTCCTGGGGTGCGAGAGGGCGATTCTAAACTTATTTTAATAAGGAGGGGTAGTACGTAACCCCGAACAAGACCTTTCCCTCGATTTGGTCAGCGCTCCCCAGGTGAAGAAGGAGACTCAAGTTGCCTAAAAGTGTTAGAGGGAGGGGGGTCTTCCTTTCCTGTAAAAGAGAGACTTACCTTCCTTCTTTTATTTTTCACCTCTACCCCTAGATATAAAGATGAAGACCCTGAGTTTATTTATGGTATTAGAAATCAGTCTTTCTCCCCTCCCCCAGTAATGTCCACAAGACTCTTCCCTGAAGTCTCTTGGTGTGCAATGAGCTTTCCCTTGCACAGTTAAGAGCATGGCGTCTGGAATGTGGTAGTTGTTAGTCTGTCTCCCACTTCCCATCCTTGTGACCTTGGCTAATTGCTTAACCTTTCGGAGTCTCAGTTAGCCTATCTCTAATTTGGGTCCTCTTTGTAAAGCATTGTCTTGAAGGCTAAGGGAGAATTTGTATAAGCGCTTAGTACATAGTAAGCTTTTGGTAAATTGTTGCTATTTACTCTTACTAAAGAAAACTAGTATCTTTTATAGAGACCCAGATTTTTCCATGCATGCCTCCTCCCATTCCCACCCCCACATCACAGGTGTTAACTCATCCTTTCTCACTGGAAAGGAGACTTTTCCCCACCCTGGGGTGGAGAAAGAGGCACTTCTCCCTTTAAATCCTTCCATGCTCCCCAAATTAACAAAGAGGGTCTCAGAATAATCAGGAGAAAAGACTTTTTGGAAACAGGTCTGTACTGAAAGAAGGAGAGAGAATTGATACCAAAAGCCAGC